ATTAAACATCCACATAAAACATATGTATACCCAGACAAAGTACAAAACCACCATTACATTCATTCAAATACTGCATATAAAGCATTTTTTTGTGATCTATTTTCTCTTTAACAAAAGAAATGAAACATTGTATTATCTCTTTGTTACTTCAGTAAGATATACCATTTTAAATGGAGGTTTCTTCTAAATATGGCTTCAACTGGTCAACTTCCATAAATTTGTTTTCGAAAAAAATTAAGAAAATCTATCAAAATGTTGATATGATGAGACATTTAATTGGCCCCCAAATTTATGCTTTCAAAACTGTGTAAGGTTAATTGATAAATGCATACAATACAATCTCGACACATTCATCACAGAAATGTATGCTTTGATGTCACTGTAACATATTTGATCTAAATTTGTCAATTTAAACATAGATTATGAGCCAAGGCCTTACACAAAGAGATATTTTAGACTCATAAAGATTTTTTATACAAAACATCTTGTAGCAAAACATCTTTTTGACTAAGACCTTGACTCTTTTCGATATATTAATGACAATATCTCAAAATGAGGCTATTTTAGCAGTATTGCATCAAAGGCAAGTTTATAACCCATTAGCACTAATGTAAGACACAACTCAAAATACAATTACTGATATCTGATAGACTTATAAAATAATGTCTTGTAAATGATGTTCTTTGATAGATATATTGTATTTTTTTAATTTTTGAATTCAAAGGGTATTATTTAATTTGATGCGACATATCTACATTTTGAAAATTCAGTCAGATCCATTTCACTTACAGAAAAAAAACTACTAGATGTATTTCTAAAATAAAAAAGTATAATATTTTTTAAAAAGAACATGTGAGATCACAGCTTCATAATGTGTAAATTAGAGGTCTGGGACCTTTTGTATTATGTATGTATTTAGGACAGGAGACAAGTTTTTAAAGAAGTACGACAAGCAAATACGGAAGGGAAATATTTCCTAGAAATATTTATCTTAAACTTTTCCTAATCAAATGTAATTAATTTGTTATAAGTGTAATCATGGCACTTTCAATAAAATTTCATTTAAATTCTGTGTTTGTTTCTTGTAGCAGAGACAAAAAGAAGACAAATTTCCCCTACTTTAAAAAGAAAAGGTGAAATGGGAAGGGATATGCAGATAAAAGGATGAGGGCATATGATAATTACTTCGTAAGTTATTGTTTAACAATACAAAAGAATTTGTTTTGGCTTTACTAAGACTTCAATATTTCATAGCCATAATGAGAATTTATTGTACACCAAGGATTTAATACAAAACTAATTGACTGATTTTTGATTAGTTTCATATAACTCAAACTGACCTGGTTGAAGACAAAAAAAATACTAGTAATAAATACTTTTTGATATACAGTATGATGTTTACACCATCTATCACACATTGATTATCAACAATATCACGAGGTACAAGACAAATGCACAGCTTATACATATCTCAAATAACTACAATTGAACATTAAAAAAAAATCCTTCTCATAGACACATTAATTCAGAAATACAGTACTTCATTCTAAGATGTTGCATTCTTTTAACAAAGACTGTTTTTCATATATTTGACAGTATTTTTTAGCTTATCTTACCCATAAATATGTATTGTATCGAACATTCCTTCATTTGCACTTTGATCTTTAACGCCTATTTAAGTGCATAATGTCTTAAGATGCTTCAAAAAAAGTTTTTCAACAAGTCTTTGGTAAATTCTGTCACTTAAATGTGTTTACAAAAACATATGTTCATTTTTCAATACAAACAACTGCATTGTGTTATATTCAGCAATTACTTGGTCATCCAAAATACAATGATGGAACCATATGCACATTTACTTGTTTATCAAGAAGAAACTAATTGTAAGATTAATAAATAACAAACATTTAAACTATTTACATCAAACAAAGTTTCAATACAAGAATCTCTCTGTTTATTAAGGATATCTTGTTTTCACATACATATGAAAAAAAAGTTGCAAATACATTTTAAACAACTTAATAAAACTTCTGGTAAACAAAACATTAATCAGACCAAATACAATTTCAACTATTAAAGATGAGGTTTTTGTTTGATGACAGTCAATATCATGTAAACTGAAATGTTCTTTTTTTCAATTCTACCCCCAAGGGTGACTGGGGAATAGAAGTATGGTCACCATTGGTCTTCCTCCGACCGGCAGTAAAACCTGTGCTAAAGTGGGGCGTCCGTTTGGCTGTGCGGGATGTACAAATTTGCAGCCACGTCCGGTCAGAATGGGGACGTTAAATCCGATGCCTCGTGTAAAGAGAGTGCCACGCTCTTTGCATGTTAAGAACCCTTGCAACAACTCTTTTAGGGGTCCGTAGGTGACCTGCTGCAAGGCTAAATTTCTGTCCCTATCCAATATACCCTCATTTCCCGTGGTAGTCTAAATTTCTCCGACCTTAATCCCGGACACCCCTATTACAGAACCCACCTATTGTATTTATTGTTAATTTGTTCTCGTCCTGAATATGCATGAAATATTTGCCACTGGACGTTAAGCAACCAACAATCAATCAATCAATTTTTCAATTCAAATCTGCTTTGGGGATGTTCTAGTATGCAAATAGAAATCGGAATCTAAAGATTGTTCACCTAGCTTCACTATGTTGTGTGTAATCGCAAAAACAAGGTAGATTAGATGGATTAATAACTATAGCTTACCAACCGGTGTCAAAATACCATATGACACTGGTTCCTTTAGGGATTCTATAGCACTTTTTGCAATCTTTTCCCCAAATTATTATGTACCCTGAGAAATTTACAAAGTTAATCTATAAAAACCTATTGAGTAATTCAACTTTTTTTTTACTTTCAAGATATAACAAGCAGACAGAGAGGGTTTTTCTTATGGATGGTTTTATTAAGATACAATATATATTATCATTACAAATAAATATTTGAATGGTTGATCCAAATTTTCAGTGTTCTTGTTTAGCCATTTTCTGCATTGTAAACTTCTACATTCAAACGTGTTATTTCAGATTTTTTTTTTACTTTTAGATTCTTTCGTCTCACTTATCTATAAAGAAATATGAATAATCATTTGTTTAAGTTTTTCTTTTTTTCTCAAAATCTTTACTACGATACTCTCAAACATTTTGTCCAACTTAAGATATATACAATACAAGATCAAAATATGTATAAGGTATCGTAAAAGAAAGGGCCATTCAATTAAAATGAATGTGAAATGTTAGGGGGGATATTTTTGGACATGGACAGTGTGTTTTTCGTGATGGTATGTCTATTTAATGCATGTAAAATTACCCAAAGAATGTGAGTTGTTGGGTGGACTATTCTTACTTAACCATGATGCCAAATTAATGTTTATAATACTTTGGAAGTCCTTTTCCATCATCGCAAATCCATTTCAATGGTATGGCCTAAATGGCAGTGCAACTATTTATTCACAAAACTAAAAATTTCAGCAAAAGTCAGTTCAACCATTGTGACAGTATATATAATGATCATGAACAATTCTAAAAGGTTGCATGGTAACAGTCTGAAGTACTTTGGCCTTTAACACAACTCTTTTAAATTGATATTATAATACAAATCTCATGACAAAAAAAAAAACTACTTTTGAAATGTGGTTGTGTAGTTTGGAAAAAATAAGTCATCCAAGTAAGTCTGTAAAACTATTACATTCCTTTCATTTTCTTTATCCACTGAAACTATTCAATACTTCACCATGAAGCAAAATGAATGTTTATAATTCACAATTTGAATGCTTAAAAGATAAATTTGTAAATATCCACAACATTAACATATCAACAAGTATAAAGCTGTATTGCGTAGTGAAGTAGATTTTAACCTTGGACTATCCTTAAATAACCTGCACAGAGAGTTAGAAGTCATTTTTTATTTACTAAATAAGTTACATCTACTTGGTATTCAATGATTATTTCAGATCATTCAGTGTCTAATAAGGCTATACTGTTGACTAGTTTAATTTCTGAATCTTCTTTTATGTTGAGAATTGTGCAGTTTTATAATTTCCTGCTAGCAATCTGAATGAAAAAGAACATGATGTAGACATCAGTAAGAAAGCAACCATACAACTAAAGTTAACAAAACAGACACCTTATAACTTTTAAAGCAAAGCAACTTAAAACTCAAATTTTATTAGCAAACTAGAAGTTTGCCTTCCTGGATGGAATTTATCAACATCAGGAATCAAATTAATACACAGTACCTAAATATCAATTTAAATAGCAAGAAGAATTTCATGGGCAAGAAAAACATGTATAAAATCCTTCCTTTTACATTTTTGTTTTCAAGCTCTTTTTTATCAATCACAAAATTTTCAATCAATTATTTTGAAGTCATTTTTTATCTGCTTTTGAGGAAAAAAAATCATTATACAATGCAGAATGTTTGTAGTTTCTTTTTGTAATTTTCATTTTTTAAAATTTAAATGTCTTTGGATTCATCAGATAAACATAAATTCCAAATATTGACAGCATAACTAACTAAATCTATACACAAATATTCGAACTTGAAAATTGATGCCAAATTCTTGAAAACTAAAATTACAAAAAAAAAATAACAATTTCTAAAAAACAAATAATTTTTAGTTAAATGGTAAATATAAAATTAAAGTCACATAAGAAATAACTTCAAAATATTTTTGTTTAATTGAATACATTGATATGTATGAAGTTATATAGAAACTATTGCAATGGGAATGACTGCTTTCAATAAACATATACTATATTCAGTAGCAACATTAAACAAAATTTTTCAAAAACAACCTAACCATTTGCAGCAACTTTCAGACAAAATAACATGATATAACAAATATGTTTAACTCAGAAAATATTTCAAATTAAACAGTCAAAATTCACTGATAAAAACTGTAAAACATTGCACATAATAAAAAGGGGAAAAATGGAACAAGTTAATCAAACAATTGTTATAAATATGACTTCTGAATAATTGTACCTATAAATTCCAAAGTTATTGCAATGTTTTTATTAATGCGAATAATACAACAGGGCGAGTATCACAAAAATAAGAACTAGCATTCTGATTTTTGATACATATTTATGTATGCAGATTTTCCTTATATCACAATAATAAATCTTCGTCCATTCTTCAAAAATTGCAAAAAAAATGCATGCAATAATTTCTGAATTTATAATATTACTCTCTAAAAATGCTAAAATAGCCTTTAACTTACAATTTAGTTAATGTCACAGTGAAATGATGTAATTCTATTTTTTAATGTAATCTAACTCATCTAATACAAATTAATAAACTTTCACCCACATTTAAAATAATACAAAAATACCAACATCCTCTTAAAATTCACAAATAAACATTTAACCTACTCTGTTTGATTCTACTAAGATAGCTCCCTACAATCAGGCAATTATGAGTATATAATTCAACTGAGATTTTTAATAGCTAAAACAGAAATATGGACTCATTTTAAAATAATCACTGCAAGGTTTTTTGTTTATTCCTAAACTTGAAGAAATTCCTATCAGTGAATCTGTATCACACTGGCTGTAATTGACAATACTGACTGGCTTTTAATGAAAACCAAAAATTAATATGTTTTAGTGTCAAAGAATTAAGATAATGACTGAAAATTGTTTGCACAATTAAAAAAGGTTCCTTTAAAAAAAAATCTTGATACTTCTATGAGAGAAATTTTTATGTAAGGACTCTCATTGTGGTCAATATTTGCTGGTTACAGAATGCAAATTGTATATGATATTCTAAATAGAAAAGCTGGTATTAAAATTTTTTTTTTCTTCTTCAAGTTTTTGAAAGGGTCAAAATGGGGCCTTACTTACTTCACAAAAGAAAGATGCAGTAGTACCTTCCAAGTGATATATTACAATTGTTTTTGCCTGATTGTAAGGTGACTTAAATATTGCAACTTTACTTGCTTAAAAGAACATAAACTTCTGCACCAATAGAATAAATAAAAAAAAACTATGCTATTCAGATCTTTGATATCATTCTGGGCCAAAGGTCATCTGACCAGGACCACCCGACTTCATATATCTTCTGTAACTTTTATAACGTCCACTTTCTGCTAATTTTGCCTTTTGTTCATCTTCTTTGTTCTTCTTCCATTTCTGAAATATTTATGAAATATTTACATGAAAGTTTCTTTATTAAAAACAAATAATACAACATGATGCTGCATCATGCACAGAGTTTTCATGGATTTCTTTGGTATAAATGAATCACAATAGCAAGTGTTGAACAAAGTATACAAATTTAATATCAGCTTGTATGCAGAAACTGTCAAAACCAGGAAGTCAATAACCAAGGAATGTACAATTTTTCCTCTCTCTCTTTCCACTAAAATTGAGATCAATGGAAATAAATAATTTAGCAGTATATTTTACCAAATCATCTTACCAAATTTTTAAACATGAATTACAAATCTTACAGGTTGTTTTTCCTCTGTAACACATGTACATTAAGCAATATTAAAAAGTAAGTTTATTATGTTTGACATGTTTGAGCCAATCTAAAATAAACTGAAAGATATCTGATGGTAAAAAAATCACAACCAATATTTTTCTCACTAATAAATGGGTGTAACTCTGGTAAAACAATTGACCGCACAAATTGCTATTTACAAAAAAGCTGAATGGGAAGCAAGCTGGTCATGTTTTAATTGGAAGTAAAACAGTAAAGCAGTTAACAATCCAAAACTTCAAATTGTATAAAGGCATTTGTTTTTCTACACAGTTGTAAGTTTGATTCCAGTTCAGATATAAGAATATAAACCTTAACCCTTAGACTGCTGCATTCATTTCTATTGTACTTTTGTGTATTGTTGAATAAATTTTTAATCATGTCGACGTTTACTTCTATGTACAATTAAGTTTAACCAACAGGTTCATTGATAAAGGTTTCGTCAATAAATAATCTAAAACAAACGAAAAGTTCGGAACTATCGATTTCGATGATCAATTTTGTTTCACAGTTGAACGTCAGAATGATAAACATCACAATCCTGTCTCATGTCCATCCGTTTCGTACATCGTCTGGGAAATCCCTGTGGTTCTTACATGAAAAGTCTTCTGTTGGCAGATTTGCTAGGATATTTCTATTTCCATCTATCATATCTTCTGCTTTCGTCCAAATCCTTCAAACGGCCGGGACTGTCACGTCATTATCATTCAAATAATTCTGAACTTGTTGGCCATCACGCCAAACAATATCCGCCATTTTGTTATCTTTTTTATCAAAGTTTTTCTCTTTCAGGTTTATTGCTTATACCTGATTTAAAGTCAAGAGAAACTCGAAAATACGCTGAATTTGAACCAATCTAAATTCATACAAGTCTGAAATGCTGCAATCTCATGAATATTGACCCTGCCCATTCCATGGTAACCGTGTGAACAAATGAGTTACGGAAACGACAATAGTCGTGCCTAGCAGTGGCGGACTACGTTATCGGAATGACAATAGTCACGCTTAGCAGTCTAAGGCTTAAGTGCTTATAAACAACATTCTAAGGGTATATAATTGTGTCTATTTTATAGAATTATAATTCTAGAAAAATGTAAGAGTTTGCACAAAATTATCTGCACAACTATGGAACAAACTTTTTCCAGTTAGAAATCAGATGTAAATTTAGTTTTTACAGGTTAAACTGTTTTAGTGGACTAATACATATGTCCCCTCATATCTATAGCATATATAGAAGTCACTCTAGTAAACGAAAACCACAACAAACACATCTAAGTGCTGGAAGGTAAATAAGAATAAATATGATAAATGAGTGGGAATCTTAACTGTTTTTAATATGTTTAACCATTTATGATCTACTTCTCAAACCAGACAAAATCTATGCTGCAGAAGAAAAAGTCCAGAGTATATACAGTCTATGGGTGGGGATTTTTTTATATATGATCACCAGGGACAAAAACTATGGTGTACTATAAAAGTCTTAAAATGAAAAGATAAAAAAAGTTATGCCCTGCAAAAGGTTGTATGAGAACCAACAAAAAAAGGAAACTGACTAATCCTACCATTGATTGGGAGACATAATAATGGCTATATAGCTATACAATACAAACAATTGTGTTCACTGGAAAAAACAGGGATTCTTTTATTTTTTATTGAACTTTCCAGTTTTTAAAATATCATTTAAGATCATCAAAAAAATTATCTGTATTACAAAATCACTGCATCTCATCATAACATGGAAACAGTTTTGTAATTTTGCAAAAAGAAAACATATTGTTTCTACCTCTGAAATATGACTATGAGTAAAATTTGTACTTACAGTAAAATTATCTTTTTTCCATAACTCTTTTCTTAAAAATTCTTCTCTTTCATGATCTTCTAAAGCCTGAAATGAACAAGAAAAATTTAACCACAAACTCAAATTAATTCAGAAACTGGCTTTCATACACCTGCATTTATCATAATTGTCCAAGGAATGTAGAAGATTATATTTTCCTTCTCGTTTATGACAATTCTGTATGAATTCTACTCTGAAGTATTAAAACTGTAGTATTGCTTTACTTTTGGTTTTGGTATCTATTATACACTTATTATGCTTTTGCTGCACTGATTTTTATTGTAAACTCTTTTATGTTTTTTTCTATTCCACTGATCTAGATCTCAAAAAAATAGTTCGACTCCACCAAATGTTCATGTGCATGTGCCAAGTCAGGAACTATCTTCATGGTTATTGTAATGAGGGGAATTCAGTGTTGATAGCATATCTGTGATAGTCTTTATCAAACTTTTTTTGACTTTAGAGAATTTAGAGCTTCACATATATGGTATATTGTGAAGGCCATATATTGGCCTCCAGATTTCATTTTGTATTGTTTATTATTGGGTTGTCAAATCACTGCAACCACATCCTCTTATATTCATATTGAAAAATGTACATTAGAATTATAACCGTTCCATATTTCTTAATCCTGAATTGCATTTCAATTATATGATATAAAAATTTCATCCTATGTAAAAGAACATTTCTATTATACTTACATCAAATTGTGCAGTAGCTAATTTCATAAATTTTCTAATTAAATGTAATTTCTCCTCTTCACCATATTCATTCCTACAAATGGTAAATTTCCAAATCCAACGACACCACCAGCATATATATTGTAATAAGTAATATGGTAAAAATACAATCTGTACCCATAATATATCATATACTGTTGGCTTTCCATAACCGCCACTGAAATAGAGATAACACAATGTCATTAAAATATCCTCCATTATAAGAAAAAATAAACTGTTATCAGAGATATGTCTCGCCTTTTTGTAATTTTGATAATGCAAATGTTGAAATTAAAATAGCAATACTTTAACATGTAAATTATGCAAATATTGAAAGTCGATGAACCATGACTGAAGGTACATGGCTGAACAATCTCCATGGAAATGAGATGTGCCAATGTTAATACAACTGCATACCAAATATCATTGACCTACTACTAGTGGCTCCCCATAAATTGACCTAATCACAAAACTAATCCATGTAAACTATGAAAAGTTTCAAAATCAATAGACCTTGACTGAGGAGGTGGGGCCAAATAATCTCCATGGTAATGAGATGTGCCAATGCTAATACAAATGCATACCAAATATCATTGACCTACCACTAGTGGTTCACCATGAACTAGACTAATCACAAACTAATACATTGTTGACGCCGTCGCCGACGCCGGAAACAGCATACCTATGTCTCGCTTTTTGACTCCGTCAAGGCGAGACAAAAATTGTTGATTTCCATTTTTAATGAAATTCAAATGATTTCAAATAAGCATTTATTATGAGATCTCACAAAACATGTTTAACCCCGCCGCATTTTTGCGCCTGTCCCAAGTCAGGAGCTTCTGGCCTTTGTTAGTCTTGTATGTTTTTTTAATTTTAGTTCTATTATATGTTTCGGAGTTTAGTGTGACGTCCATTTTCACTGAACTAGTACACATTTTTGTTTAGGGGCCAGCTGAAGCCGCCTCCGGGTGCAGGATTTTCTCACTGTGTTGAAGACTCATTGGTGGCCTTGGGCTGTTTTCTGCTCTTTGGTCGGGTTGTTGTCTCTTTGGCACATTCCCCATTTCCATTCTCAATTTTATTTGTCTAATTAAAACACACTGCTAATATCCCAGAAGAAAGACACTCTTAAATCAAATGTATTATATCCTACTCCCTACTGCATATTTATATCTTCAAATTTAATCTTTTTTAAAGAAATATTAGTCAATGAAAGAAGTATCAAGGTCCAGAGAATTTTACATATAAACTTACTGTATATGAATTTTATCTTCTATTACTTTTCTTATGACAGCTTCTTCTTCAGATTTAATTTCTTCCTATGAAAAAAAAATCTAATTTCATGTACATGTATCATTATAGATTTATATTCCACTGCCACTAAAAGACTTGGATATATTGTGTTATCAATGTCTGTGCAATCGACCTCAAACAGTTGTCCAGACTTTTTATGTTTTGCCTGCAGATGTCAATCCGTTTTTAGGTATATTCTATATGATGATGACTTATGGACTTTACTCTATTATTCTAAAAGGATGAACAGCTTTTACAGATCAAGCTTGGGCTTCTTTCCGGCTCACTGACAATTTGTTGAATTACAGCCTTTAAAACCTCAGCAAAATTGTACTTGCCCAGTCATTTTGTTGTTTTGCCTGCAGATCAGGAGCTAATTTATGGTACTTAAATGTATAATGATGACTTACAGATTGATTTTATGTTTTGTTCCAGTTGACCTACTGCTTATCAACATTGTTCTCAGTTTCGTTCTATTAGCCACAATACAAACCCATGAACACAGTGTTGCCAGTGTATATACCTGGTGCACTTCATATTTCCTATGAATTCCGCAAATATACATATATAATAATTAGGCTGTTCTTGTTGTACCAACATATCTAGATTTAGCAAAGATTTTGGAATAGGAAGTATGAAGAATATCAAATACAATTATAGCAGTGTAATATTTTGCCATTTCTAAAATAGCAAATAATTCATGGTGTATTAGTAGTATTTTCTTTGAATGATTCATGAATGTAAACAAATGTACATGAACTGTATATTGCAGTGTATATCAGAATACATGTAAGCATGTACAGTACTTAAAAAAACCCAATAACATCCTCTTTATAAACAGCATCTGCAGCTGTCTATAAGGGTCAACTACCTACCTTCCCTTAAGTGTCCTTAATTGACAGACTTGACTGTATAAAATAATGGCATGTATCTTAATCAAATCTTTAATTTGTACTTAACTGATGTAAAATATTACCTTTGATCGTTTATCTTTTTTCCTATTATTCTTTCCACCAGTAACAAGCCCCTCTGATTGAGCAATATCCATTGCCCTATGTCTGTATTTTGCTTCTTTACAAGCATAATCAAGGGCACTGTTGTAGTTATTCCAAGCACCCCAGTACTGGAAAAGGAAATTATCCAATGTTAGATGATATATTTTATATTTCCCAGCAAGAGAACAGATTATATTGTTTGATCTGTTTACAGGTCTCATAACCCTTCTTAATTGAAAATACCCAAAGAAAAAAAGCACTAACTCTTTTTGTGAGTCAGTCCATTCTTATGTCCTTGGTGTCATACACAGCTTCTCAATTCAAAAAAGTATTAACACAAATACCGAACTCTCCAAGGTTAAACTAAAAGAAAGAAAGGAAAACAACTGTCATATTCCTGGATTAGCAGGGTTCACACTAAGAATTTTTGAAGGCGAGACCAGGGACTTGTCATTTTTGGCCATGGCAAGCCCAACGGTGAGAAGATGAAATTTTATAGCTATGTTATTCATTATTTCAGTGTCCAGGACAAAATTGAGCAAGGAAATGACATCAAATATGGATTATTTTTAAACTTTTGCATAAAACGATTATATTTGGGCTCAGTTGATACATCATTTTAAAATCTTGATGCATCTTTGGACTCACCAGTTTTGAAATAAATGGAGAATGTGTCCATGGGACACAGATGATGTCCCTGCTTGCATATCATATAAATTTATAAAGAGACATAGCTGAAGAAGGGTAAAAGTGACACTACCCAAATTTGTACTTGATCTGAGTTTTGTGGTAATAAGCATTGTGAATAAGTTTCATAACATTTGGTTGAGGCAAACTAAAGTTAAAGAACAGAAACCAACTTTGGAACGTATGGACGGACAAGGGTAAAACTTAATGCCCCCCTCCACTACGGCGGGGGCATAAAAATAATGAGTCCAGACAAGTATTCACCCGTTCAGGGCTTGTGGACTCGCCTAAGTGAGAACCCTGGATTGGTACAGACATTTTCCAAAGAAAATGAGGAGTTACTGTTATATATGTATCAGATAGGTATTAAACCTGGTTTTGTAATAAAATAGTGTTTTATATTAAATACAAAACAAATCAATTGAAAGCTAAATCACTTTAATAGAAGGACTCACCAAATGTTTGAATAGTGACTTCTGGCTTCACTGAATAAAAATCCTTTTAAGTGTCATTGATTCTCACCCATTACAGGTACAACTGAAAAATACCTATTCTCACCTACATAACTAGAGAACACCTACTGGCACCTCTATACCTTACAAAATATTGCACACCTTGTTGTGCTTAGCATACCCAACTCTAACCCAAATAATTCAGTCGATCCCTGTGATTGACTCTCCCACTCACGAGGGCCTGAACTCTTTATACAATCAAAATTGTGTCACAAATCCAGGATTTTGATTGGTGCTCTCTGAATGAGAGAGTCAATCAGCTGATAGCTTAATTTTATCAGGATAGGTAAATCTTGAGCTCATTTTGAATTTATAATTTTGTATTGACTACGCTTTCAGGCATTAATGTAGCCATTGTCATGATTGTAGATCTAGAGCAGCGGAATCTAAGGATTGAATTATCAATGTTAACCCTAAATCATTATTCAAAGAATCTGAAAACAGGAAATAGGTGTCTCGCAGATTTAGAAACCCCTGACGTTTTACTAGTCATCACTATCAAGCTGCTGATCACATATGAAGTCATTCTGCTCAGTACTACCTGTGAAAGTGTGACATAAAAATTTGTTGGACGAATGAACGGATGGACAGACAAGGTGAATCCAACATATCCCTCACTCCTTAAAGATAACACCTACTCTTACCTGTATAAATGATATAACTGTAATTGTTACACCAATAACTATCCTGGGATCTACTTTGGGAGCATATCTTCTCTTGTAATAATTATAGTAATTGGCAAAGAACTCATCTGAAAAAGTTAATTATGAAATCTAAAAATTTTGGAGAGAAAACAGAGATTAGATTGACAAATTTCTGAATTAAAAAAATTCTTTTCTTCATATTGCTAACTGGACATTATATTGGGTAATCAACTCTATGCACTGCTATTGTTATTGTTATTGCTTTGATAGATATAATATCATTTACACATTTTTTAACAACAAATTATCTTAAACAATCACCAGTTACCTCCTTTTCACACTTCTGCCAAAAAATTCAAATCTGTTTCCACGATATATAAGTTACATTGTATCTTAATTTTTCAGAATACAATTCCATAGCTTAAGTTTTTACCTGAATTTTTTTTCAAATTATAAGATCGAAAATAATTTATTAGAAATATATAACTATATTAAATTTGAGAAAAAATAACAATCATTTACTCTGTGAAATGTTTTTAATTTTTTTCATTGTTTAAAGTTAGAATACTCTGACATTTACCTGGATGGTCCAACATGTAATCATAATCACTCCTTTGGTCCTCATCTTTTAGTATCTTTAAATAAAAACAATCTATGTACAATCTATGTCATCAGAATTTTAAGGACACATGTTTATTCAAATACAAGATCACCAAATTCAAGAGACAAAATTAATGTAAATTAAGCATACTGATTTTAATTTATCTTTTAAATGTGTCCATTCTGCCTAAACCTATTAACTGAAATGAGTTAGATACAAAATGAGAGGAACTTTGATTTCATTTTGATATGGCTTAAAAAAAATAATTCAAGGAAATTCAAACAGAGTTCATTTAAGTATTTTTTTCAAAATCTTTGCAAAATACATATTTTAATCTAAATTCTATGCTTAATCAAAAGACAATTAAGCTATAAGGAGGAAGTAGATCTCAAGGGACAATACAAAACCGTAAGTCTAAGAAAAACAGACAAAACATTACCTAACTGTTGATATTTTAAAAGAAATGATGTCTTAACAGATTTTCTTTTATCAAATTATTTGCTGTTTATTCAGACATTTCCTCTAACCCAACATTTTAAAATCTACAAGAGAGTTACACTGTAGCAAAAAAACACCCACCAGCTGTATAATGTGGAATGCAGTTAGAATGTGTGGATGAACTGCTATTTCCTAAGGATATTCGAAGTCCAATAATCGCCATAACTAAATGACAGTATAGTATTGCCAACTACACATGATGACAAACAATACTCTAATGAATACTGTTGGGCAAAAACTCTGAAGGGAGTTGAATTTACAAGGTGCCAATGTGTTAAAAAAGTTTTTTTTAAAGTTTTTTTTATCTAAGACCAATAACATGAAGTAATCCCACCAAGTATGAAAGCTTTCTGTAAAACAAACCTTTTGAAATAAAACTTTTGCTCATTGATAGTTAATGTCTACATCAATAATGTTCTAGGTACACTTTCATTAGAGTTAAAGTCAAGATCAGTAAGTATAACTATCTTGGTAACCATTCCATTGATCAAGTATCAAATTTAAATGACTAATTCTTCAAGTCTTGATTCTTTTCTGGAACTAACAACACAACACCCCAATGACTATTATAATAATGGAATATTTGAAAATCTAAATATATCACTTACTTCATATGCATTTCCTATTTCTCTGAACTTTTCTGTGGCTTCTTCTTTCTTTTTCTGTATTGAAAAAAAAGACTTTCTTTATAACAAACATTGTAGCTATAGTGTACATTTTTCTATAAGTTAACAGAACATTTTTTGTATTGCACAATGTTATAACCTTTAAGCATCCTGGTTCTAACAATGGATTGTTATTGTAAATTGTAAAGAAAAATATGAAAATAAGGTTAAAGGTTAGGTTACAATGACTGTCTGACAAAATCTCAACATAAATGATTTCCATACAAATTTATATTAAAAGAAATGAAAGTGTGGCTAAAAAACAAAGGTTTTTGCAGTTGTAATTCTTTTAAGCTTTCCATCAATGCAGGAGTAATAGCTGCATGTAAATCTTGTCTTTGCATAATGTCCTCACATACATGTATGAGATAAAAATGCATTAATCTTTATTTCTTAACTGTTACAAATGATAACATATTTATTTAATCCGAAATATGATAATTACAAATAATATGAGGTTAAAAGTCAAAATATCTACTGTAAAATGGTTTATTTTGCAGATATTAAAATTAGCAACTTTAAAGTCCAAACCTTTTCAAGAGGTTTTATTTTTGTATTTTCTTAATCTTGTTCATGTTGTTCCTGACTCTTATCTTCCTTTAAGGTTAATTTTACAAGATTTTATCTTATTTGCAAAAATAACAAAAAATAACCCCTTGCAAAAAATGTTCACTTGCTAGTATGTGAAAATCAAATCAAATCAAATAGGTTATTAAACATTTCTACCATGTCTACTACATCAATAAAAAGGTTTTGCAATAAATTCACCTCTCTTTCATTTCTGGTCATGTTTGTTAAAAATGGTAAAAAATATATTTTTCAGTTTAACCAAAATTCCTAGTCTTAAATTCTGCAATATCAATATACATATATTGCTATATCATGTTAAGTTTTTAGGATTTGATTAATTGTTAGTTGCATTACATTATCTTCAATAAAAAGGTTTTGCAATAAATTCACCTCTCTTTCATTTCTGGTCATGTTTGTTAAAAATGGTAAAAAATATATTTTTCAGTTTAACCAAAATTCCTAGTCTTAAATTCTGCAAGCAATATACATATATTGCTATATCATGTTTAGTTTTTAGGATTTGATTAATTGTTAGTTGCATTACATTATCTTCAATAAAAAGGTTTTGCAATAAATTCACCTCTCTTTCATTTGTGGTCATGTTTGTTAAAAATGGAAAAAATATATTTTTCAGTTTAACCAAAATTCCTAGTCTTAAATTCTGCAATATCAATATACATATATTGCTATATCATGTTAAGTTTTTAGGATTTGATTAATTGTTAGTTGCATTACATTATCTTCAATAAAAAGGTTTTGCAATAAATTCACCTCTCTTTCATTTCTGGTCATGTTTGTTAAAAATGGAAAAAATATATTTTTCAGTTTAACCAAAATTCCTAGTCTTAAATTCTGCAATATCAATATACATATATTGCTATATCATGTTAAGTTTTTTAGGATTTAATTAATTGTTAGTTGCATTACATTATCTTCAAAGAAATGATAATGTGCATATTATGTACATGCAAGATATTACTGTCAATAGAAAAAAAGTAATCATGGTAATACAGAGTTTAATTTGAAACATTTGATATTGTTGACTTCTGGCACCGATAAACAAATTATCAAATTATCATAAACAATAGCCTTGAAATTTACACATTACTATGACCTATAAAATAGCCTTTAATTAATAGTAGCTATATATAGATTAAATCCATAAATATAAAGAGAAAGGACATGGTTGGGTTATTTTTGTTTTGCCTTCATTGTATTTCACAAAAACTTACTTCTGTCTTGTGCATGTCTGGATGCCATTTCCTTGCTAATTTTCTGTAGCCCTTAGTTATTTCAGTCTGCAAAATATCAATAAAAAAACTCATGAATAAAAACAATGGTTTTCGTACAAAAAAAATATTAATAGTATAAAGAGCCATACATCAGTCAGGGATATAACTCTACAGGGTTATTAGAGAAAAATAACATACATTTGTTATTGTGGACTAAAAACTCCAAAAACTGTGATCACATATGTATGTTACATGTTTCAATGAGGCAATATACATCCTTTGTTTTGTTAAAATGTATACAAGTTCTATTGATAGTATTATTGTCTTTATGTATACTAAACTTAAGAAGATATCACAGTTCATAGTTTGCCAATCATGCATAGTACACCTATGTTATTAAAGAAAAATTATGCCTGTAATAACTAAAGTGTGTTTTGACAGCTTCTCTACATCATTTCAAAGCCTTTGCTCGGAGTGTAGCGGTGTCACAGCGCGAATCATGGATTATACTCCCAATTTCATCCAAAGATTCTCTCTCAACACCGTGTAGCTGTTAATTGGTTTATTGCCCATCGGATGTACTGAAAATTAATGACGCGTGACAACATAATCAGATTAGCCAGATTTATTACCTTTGTACATTTAATCGATCTTGATTGCACCTGTGTGCTTTAAAACACGGTATTAAAATTTCCTTTCTTTGACAGATAAAAATGTGACATTTTCATTCAAAATAAGATAATTATTCTTGTATGTATTTGCCCCATGTCATTGTCATTTGAAATAAAACGTACAAACGTATAAAAATACGAATAAAACACTTATTTTGTATTATTATTATAGTCCGGTCAGGTCATAATTTTTGTTTTTTCAACAAAGACGATTTTACTACAATTAGAATCTTTTATGACCTACTCAGTGAGCATTATCTGGTTCATTAATTGTTCAATATATAAATATCAACTGGCTTAAAACAAAATGATGTTTTTACGGTAATTTGTCCAATCTAAACCCAAGAGTTAATTTATCGGATCAACAAGTGAACTCTGTTACTTTCAATTTATTTTGCAATGTAAAATATTATGTTTCACTACCTTGGTAGATTACCGACTTGAAATATTTGAACTCAGAAAAGAAACTGTAAAGTGACAACTCTGTTGAACGAAGGGAAAACGTTTTGTATGCAATGTGCCCTATATTCATAAAAACACAACACTGAGAGACATTCCCCGCCCAGACACAACACAATAATCACAACCTAATTTAATTATATGAAGAAAAAAAATCATGTGTTGTTTATCTCTTGTTATGATCTGTTATTGATCCTTTATTATTTAAAATAAAATTGGATGGGCGCAATCCGTATTTAACTGCTCGTTAAAAGTCCTTGGCGAAATTTAAAAAAGAAGTATTTCAACAATTAATATTATAGAATATTTAAATGAAATTATATCGTGTTCTACAAGAAAGAAATATGTGAAAAAAATGTGGATCGGATTTTTACGATCTACACATTTTCACAGAGGATCTCTACCAATGCCCAACAGGAACTGAACGACATGCATCCTGTTTTCATCTACCATTTATGTATATTGTTGACCATGGACGTATAAATAATGTCCAGGTTTATGTCCTGTGTTGACTGAGAAACGTAAAATTAAAAGGCTGGTGTTCGTTTATTCAGAAAAGGATTATATTTTAGATTCCGGTTAATCAATTGTAAAAGGACCTTCTAGAGCCTCAATCTTAAGGCATACAAATGTCAATCATTCCAAAGCAAACTTAAACCCCGAATGAATTTTCCCACGATCATCCAGAAAGGTCACCTGAGTTTACTGTTACGTGATAATATTTCCCGCCAAATAAAAATCTTGTGGACAAAATTGATGTCACTATTTTTAGCATTCAATATTGTGAGCGAAGTCAAGTTCAAAGTTCAACCACGGACTGTTGACCACTGAGATGTGTATCGTCTTCCCACGGCAATTAATTTCTTTTAAAAAATTTAAAAATCACTGTCCTTTATACAACACACAAGTTTACATTCATTGTGCGTAAATGAATATTCAATTTTATGCAACGACGAGTTGATGCAGCTATAGAAGTATTCCTGTTGTAGCCGAAATGTAATTATTTATCCTAAAGTAATGCCAACAAATGGTAAAGAGAAAATGCCGTAGACTTATCAAGCATAACGAATGATGAATAGTATTTTCTTTTTTACTTGCATATACAAATTTTGAGACACGTAATTTTCTTTAAACTTTTATATTCAGCGTTAGTTTCCGTTTATTTTTACACAAGTATGACTCTTTTCGTAAATAAAATAATTTACCGATGAACTTAAACAAGGTCAAAATCAAGTATAGTTTTTGTTATAAAACTTGAATGCAATTGAAAGAATTAACAACAACATTCTGCTTTTAAATCTTTAATTTGTTTCAAGCAATTATGTAATCATAAAATGAAAATGGTGTGGACTTATTAGCATAACGAATAGTGAATAATATTTTCTTTTTTACTTGTATACAAAACTTTGAGACATGTAATTTTCCTTTAAACTGCCCACATTTATTCAGCGTAAGTCTCTGTTTATTTTTACACAAGTATATCTTTTTTTGTAAATTAAATATTAATTTACTGACCAGAAAAAAAAAACGAGGTAAAAATCAAATATAGTTTTTATTAAAAAAAAACTATTTTTAAATGTACAGTGTAATTGAAAGAATTAACAACAACGTTTTGCTTTTAAATCTTTTATTTGTTTCAAGCAATCAGAAATATAACCTGATTATCAACAGACAGGAAATACAACTGTTTAATTACATAAGTAATCTCACATACCTTGACTGTCGCAAGCCGGTATAGATCAGAAGGATTAGGGCAATTAATTACCTGGTGTGACACTGCGTCACACCGGACTGGGAGAGATGTCGCTAATACAATAAACAAAAGGTAGCGAATTTACGAGGAAGTCGGAGGGAATACTCCCAAATTTCTCCGAGAATTTAGGGAAGGATGTCGGAGTTTCCTGGTGTCACACCAAGAAAAAACTTGGTGTTCGGAGTTTGGGAAGCCTTTCGCGAAATCTGTACTGTAGTACATTCAATAGCCAATCTAATTTGGACTAATGATTAGCATGATAAGTTCAACCAATTTTTATATTAGATATACATTTTTGTACATGTATTATCACAGAATATCTCAAAAGGCATGATAAGATTGAAATGAAATATTTATCATCATGATCATAGTTTATTAAGCCTTTAATATTTTACTTCTGCCAAGGTTGGCTGAAATGAACCTAGAAGTTTCTGATAATGCTGCAAAAGGTCACTGAGTGATGGCAATTATTCAAACTTGCCACCAAACCTTGTGGACTTTCAATCTATTAAGAGCAGAAAAAAACATTTAATAGTTTGTTCTTTTATATATGTTGCACTGTTACACCACTGTCCCAGGTTAAGGGGAGGATTTGATGCCAACAAACATTTTAACCCCATCACATTCTGTATGTGTCTGTCCCAAGTCAGGAGCCTGTATTTCAGTGGTTGTTGTTTGTTGCTGTATATCATATTTGTTTTTCATTTATTGTTTTAAACATAAATCAGGCCGTTAGTCTTCTCATTTGAATTGTTTTACATTAGTCATTTTGCGGCCTTTTATAGCTTACTATGTAGTACGGGTTTTGCTCATTGTTGAAGACCGTACATGACCTATAGTTATTCACTTCTACATCATTTGGTCTACAGTGGAGAGTTGTCTCATTGGCAATCATACCACATCTTGATATTTTTATATAAATAGCTAGCATGGCTAGAGTCTTTCAGAATTAAAAAAAAATGTCCTACCTTGGTAGCATCTCTTGTGACACCCAAAACTAAAAATAAAACAAATACATGTACATGTGTAAAAGATAATAAAAATGTGAATTACTAATATTTGCTTGGTCATAATGGATAAAGGTAAATACAATCAGGTAAAAATAATTGTGATGTAAATTCTGTAAAAATTACTTTTAAAAAAAATCACAAAAATCATGAAAATTAAACAGGACTTTCCAAGATGTTTACGTGTCATCGTCAGAGCAACATAAAGGATACAACTAGTGGAGTAGAAACTGCATTCCCTTCTTAACTACATATATCTGACTTCGTCACTGGTATCTGGTTTGGTTCGTAATTTCATGTTGCTCTATCTAGTCTTCTGTGTGATGCTACATTTACACAATGTATGAGCATTTGTTGCTATTCTGACCATCATTTTTTTTACCAAGAAGTTGTCTGGATTTAGTATCTTCTTCCTTAATATTATATGTACATGATGTACATGTATATATGTACATGGTTAAGGAGTATATAAATATCAGTCTGCACCAAAATCTTTTCCCGCTACTAGTCCAAAGACCAATATTCCAACAATTTTCTAATGCGTCTAAACAAATATTTGCAAATACTTACTAGTCCGAATAAAATTTAACTAGTATGGGACATCGGACTAGTGGCTGATGGTGCAGACTCAAATATTTAGCAGTTTGACTTTTTATTTTAGATAAATTTTCGAGAATGAATGAGAAATTAAAGTGTTTAACACAGAGATACGTCTCGCCTTTTTGCTATTTTGATAGTAAAATGCAAATGTTGAAACTAAAATAGCAATACTTGAACATGTAAGTTAAGCAAAATATTCAAAGTCAATGAACCATGACTGAAGGTTCAGGGCCAAACAATCTCCATGGAATGAAGATGTGCAAATTCTAATACAACTGCATACCAAATATCATTGACCTACCACTAGTAGCATACCTATCCGTCAAAGGGAGATAAAAAATAATTGAATGTTAATACATCACAGTAAGAAACATTTGTTTGATTATGTCATTTACGCAGATTGACCTTGGGTCACCATCAACCGGTGTAACCCACTCATAAAAAACAACTCAAGATTGGCAGGGCGGTCAAGTTTTCATGAAGCAAATGCTTGAGATTTGTAAAGATCACAGAGAAAAAACAATAGATAAAAGAAAAATCCTGTCAAATAAGCATGAAAATGTGTGAGTCTCACAGAAATTGCTTGAGACTTGACTGTTGACAGCACTGTATTGGTCGTATTAGTTATTCCAGACACAATTCTGAAATTGTTATTTAATTGAAAGTTTTTGTAGTTACCACCATGAAAGACAACATATTTTTTCATGATTTAAACTTGAAAACCCCAAGTCTAGCTAGTGACACACTCATCACACACAATATAACTCAAAAAGTCTTAGGTGGATCAAATTTGTAGACAGCAATGAGGGTTATATACAAATGTTGTCAAAGTGTGTATCAGCATGAAATATATATAGCAAAGGTAGCAACACCGGAACGCGTCCAAGCAAAAAAATAAAATATAGCCTTCAAAGACGTCATAATCATTTTGACTTTAAAGTTTAGCAGATGGTGAATATAGTGCATATCATTTTTTTCTGGTTATAATGTTTTCAACAATATTTATATGCAAAATTAAAACTGCATACTCTCATAACAGTTATCAAGTCCACAATATAACCCTGCCATAAACGAGAAACAAACGTCTACTTGTATAACTGATAAAATAAGCAGGAAAGCAAAACGGTTTGCCATGTTGTCTGTATTCAGTTCTAATTTTTAAAACTTACAAAACGAAATCACTATTTTTGTTTTCAATTTTTAATCAACTGGAGGAAAAAAAAAACTTGATAATCATTAGTTTTTACATTACAAGATCCACGATTAACTGCTAAAAAGTAATCTTTAATTTTTAAAACTGGAAATACAGAAATTCGTTTTCTTTTCTTAAATTTTATTTTGACTATTCTCTCCTTCGAAAAAAAGAGCAAGGTGGACGTCCCCCTTTTTTTAAAACTTCATAGGGTAACTTGTTTGTAAATTGCAATTATTTCATTCTGCTTACAAGTCAAATATTTAATGGAAACAGAAAATCAATAATTTATGGGTTTTTCCTTCACTTTCTAACATCTCCTTCTTCTTTCATCTACATGTAAAAAAAAGGTTGAAATGATATAAATAGGCTAGTATTAAAAACAAATATGTACAGTTAATTTTCTGCAAAAGAACTTCAATGTACATTAAAGTCTTGTGCTCAGCTGGGAACAGTATATCTAACGTCAATATATATGTTCCTGTGCTCAGTTACAAAGATTATGGTTAAAGTTCCAGCCTTCAACACTGAGCAAAGTTAACGACTACCTCATAGTAACCTGTAAAAGCAGTCTGCACCAAAATCTTTTCCAACTACTAGTCTGAAGACCAATATTCTGGGTACAAGTCAAATCGGCACCTGGTCAAATCAGCACCTAAAGAAAAAGTCAAATCGGCACCTGGTTAAATCGGCATCCGGTCAAATCGGCACCTTTTTATAGTCAAATCGGCATTTAGGTGGTCAAATCGGCATCCGATAATATTTGACATGTTTGATATAATATAAATAATTATGAATATGACTTGTATAAATGATCTATCAATTTCTAATTATGTTTAACAAAATTTAGGTGGGATTTATTTTATTCTTAAATCGTTGAAAATCATCACATGTTAATTATTTAGCAGTTATATTAGAATACATAAGTTAATTTGTTTGAAGTTTTCTCAACATTCTATGACTGATGTTTTGATTAGTTTTCTTTTCAATTAATTAAATATTAACTTTTATCAATTAAATAATTAACATGTTTGTTGTTTTAACTCTAAACAGGTAGTTATTGATGTTTTTTCTTCAAAAACTTAAATAAAAAAACAATGAAGCCATTACCCAAGCTGTTATTAAATCATGAGAAAATTAGAACCAATAAAAGGGAAAACTATGAGCCCCCTCTTCACTATCACAATGTCAGACGACAGCTGTATTAAGTGAACCAAAGTAGTTAGGCCAAGACAAGAGGCAATTCAGTGTGAAAGATGTTCAGGCTGGCAGCACAGAACCTGTAATACGGGTAAGTAATCTAACTTATAGTTCTCTTTAATTTGTTTATTAAATAAATATGCAGGACACTTTTAAGGGCGCTTATAATATGTTATAGATTAGAAAAGAATATTTTTATTTCCCAATATTCAGACCAGTTCTCTTTAATCCAAAACTCTCCGATGTAACAGCCAATTTCTTCCATATGAGATTCATTTTATTGTGTCAAGAGCCTGCCATACACATTATTTTGGAAGATCTTTATACATACTCTTACGATAGATATTGGTTAAAAGATAATTTTTAATTTTGTTGTTGATGGTAAATCATTGAATGGTTGAAAGCTATGGCATACATATAATTACACATTTTTTAATACATTGTGAATTTTATTCAGATTCTTTATATTTTATGTATGTGACACTATAATAAACTATTCTGTTTGTCTGTCTGTCTTATATATATATATACATTAGTTTTTCAAATTCTAATTATTTATTAACTTTGAGCCTTATAGCTCAACAAGCGTATTCAAATACAGAATATATCAGTATATCTGCTACAATGTACGATGAAATATAATTCATCTTCTATCTCTCTTTACTAAAAAAAACAATTTCTTACATTCTTTAATAGTCCAGTTTCAATTGTAATTGTTTGTTGTAGGTATATCTAGAGACCAGTACAGGGAAGCTGTGAGAGAATCCACTCAGTTGGAATGGGTTTGCCAGGACTGCACAGAAGCATCAGAGGTATTTTTTTTCAATATTTATTAATAATTTATTACAAGAACATGAACACATATACTACATTCATTACCATGACAAATTCTGAGTTATTATGTGTTGGAATTGTACTGTTTGTAATTCAGTAGTTTTGTCAAATTTAATTGGAATCCAATTGTGTATTTTTTGTCAGTTATCAATAAATCCAACTAAATTGTGTTATGGATCATGTTATAATTAATTTTAATTTTCCTAATATTTATAATATTTTACAGGTTTAAGGTTCATTGACCACAGACTACCTGAAGACATTTCCCTTGATGGTTTTGTTGCTGATTTTGAAGCTGGTTTGTGGCAAGCACTGAAGCAGCAGTTTCCACATTATGCCATCCTGGTCCCAAGCAGTATTCCGAAAGGTGCAAGAACATGGTCTGCAGGTAACATACATTTGTATATATATATATATATATATATATATATATATATATATATTGTTATGTCTGATCAAATAGAAAAGAAGTGTGGTATGATTGCTAATGAGACAACTTTCCAGAAATATAATGGCCTTGATGTAAACAACTATAGCACACTGTACTGTCTTCAACAATGTTGATATTGAGAATTTTTTTTTACAACTATGATAATTGTCTTTTATTCAAAATCAATACAGCTTAATTATAAAATTTTTATAATCAAAAACTATAATAGCATCAGTGTTTTACATTATATAATTTGTTTTTCTCAAATTTGTTTTAAGTATTTAATTTGTATATAATTTTTCAGACTGCCTACAACCAGAAAGACAGTGTTTACACCTTCTTGAGACAACTGATGGCTCTTCCCTTCCTGCCACCAGAGCACATCACCGATACCTTCCTCCAGTTAGATGCCAGAGCACCACAGGCCATAGTTCCCGTAATGAACTATGTGTACTCCACCTGGATAGACAGCACCATATTCCAGATCAACCATTGGAGTGTATTCATGTCAGCCATTCGGACCAACAATGATGTCGAGGGATGGCACAACTGCTTTAACACCAATGTAGCTACCAGAGGACCTGTCCCGTTCTACCAGATGGTAACTAAACTGTTTGCAGAGGCAGGTGACATCCCCCTTCAACTGAAACTTGTAACTGAGGGTAAACTACAGCGCTACCAACGGAAGAAGAGTCGACAAGTGCAAGGCAAGGTTTTCAGCCTATGGAATGACTATTGTGAACGTGCAACATCAGCCAGCAACCTTCTACGCGAATGTGCTGCCATTTATGTTCCACCGGCAAAGTGACAAATTCAGTTATTGACACAGTGCTTGCTATATTATGTTTACATGTAGACTGTCTTTGATATTTATAAAGTGATACTGCTGTAAAAGTGCTTCTTATTATTGAATACATGTAATCTTAGTTTAATGATGTTAATATAGTGCTTTGCTTCAAGACAATAGTTAATCATGACAATAGATTAGTGCATACTGTTACTTTTACTTATGTTTTACTGTACTTGTGGGATCAACTGTTATATATATGTATATAATATATAAATAAAAAAAAATGTCTGATACTTATATTTTCTTCTTATTTACACAGTTTGGTTTTATTAGCAATAAAGAGTTTCTGAATCAGTTCAAATATTCAACTAAGTTGGAACTTTTATAAAGTTCAATCAACCATGAACCAATGAGCATGCAAAATATTCATCTTTAAATAAAACGGACAAAATGAATAATTCTTATACTTACATTTCCCTGCCGTTTAAACACCAGCTTGGTTGTTGCTCGTAATGACACGTTCTTGGTTATCAAACTCACATGCAAACTTATATGAAATTAAGGTGGTATTTCAGGAAGGTTTAAACAGCATTAAAACCAACAATCATGCAAATTCTCAACTGTTCAAAACATGCATAACAAATATCCAATACCTCGAAGACATATTAAGTTGAACAACAAAAAAAACATACTGAAATCCACAAAGATGTTTTAAAGTCAATATTTGTGGATAACACCTACTTTAAATTTTAATTGCAATCATTTTACCGAAAAAAATCGGCATATTCCACATATTTTACATGGGTGCCGAAATGACTACATTAGGTGCTGCTTTAACCAGGTGCCGATTTGACTAGAATTCAATATTCTGACATTTTTCTTATGTGTTGAAACAAAGTTATACAAATATTTACTAGTCTGAATAAAATTTTACTAGCCTGGGACTTCAGACTAGTGGCTTATAGTGTAGACTGTAAATTTAAGGCCCCAACTGACAACATGGACAAATGTAAAACAATTCAAGAAAAACTAACAGCCTGATTTATGTACAAAACAATAAAACAAAAACAAATATGATATTCAGTAACAAATGACTAACACTGAATTATAGGCTTCTGACTTCGGACAGGCATATACAGAATGTGACAGGGTTTATGTTACATGTTTGCTGGCGCCAAACCCTCCACCTTTAAACCTGGGACAGTGGTGTAACAGTACACCATAAGAACAAACTATAAAAATCAGTTGAAAAAAGCTTAACTCATCAGAATGATTCTGAGCACATAAAACCCTAATAATAACAGAAAAGACACGTAGTACAGATCTGATAGTACTCACAGTTACTAAAAGCTAGTTCAAAGCAAATACAATTTAACAACTAATAAAAAAATTATGTGTCTAAGACTGAAATATCATACAGTACACATACAACATCAATAGACCACTTTCGAGTTATGTCCTTCAATTTTGTGCGCCTTTGTGACATCATTTACCAGATAGAGGAGATCGCCTGTACCCCTGCTCTATTAAAGTTCATCAAGCGTCTTTGTGATTATCATTATGCAGGATAAACTAGAAATAATATTTGTTCCGTAAGTACTTAATCACAATTCCCTAATGACAGCAGTGCTGATTATCAATTTTAAGACTTTAATTTGCCGAATAATTCGTGCAATATAGCATTATCATTTTTTCAGCCAATCGCTCAACATAGGAACGGAAGTGACAATGCCCCTAAACGCACAAATGATGTTCACTAAAACCAAAGTTTTTGACGGAAATGCAACGAACTCGAAAGTTGTCTTTTGGAAATAGTGTTAAGACATTATTAACCATGTTAATAATCAATTAGTTGTTTTTGTGCTTTGTGCAAATCTGTTTGAAAGTCGAGCCAGTTCCAACTAATTTTTACTGTTTCTACTTACATTGTGCTTTTATATAACTGTCTCAGCTGGTTAGAGGGAAGATTGAATGCTCACAAACATGTTAGCTCAACCACATTCTGTGTGTGACTGTCCCAAATCAGGAGCCTGTAATTCAGTGGTAGTTATAAGTTGCTGTCTGTCATATTTGTCTTTCTATAATTGTTTTGTCACAAATTAGGCCTTTGGTTTTCTCGCTTGATATGTTTCACCTTTCTTTTCCAGGTTTTATAGCTTACTGTACAGTATAATGGTTTTACTCATTGTGGAATGCACAATAGTAACCTATATAGTTGCTTTATATAGAGTTATTTGGACTCTGGTGGATAGTTGTTTCATTAGCAATCATACCTCATATCCCTTTTTAGCTCACCTAGCTTTTTACAAAAATCTTCTCCTCTGAAACCACTGGGTCAAATTTAACCAAACTTGGCCACAATCATCATTAGGGTATCTAGTTTAAAAAATGTGTCCGATGACCCCGCCAACCAACCAAGATGGCCGCCATGGCTAAAAATAGAACATAGGGGTAAAGTGCAGTTTTTGGTTTATATCTCTGAAACTAAAGCATTTAGAGCAAATCTGACAGGTGGCAAAAATGTTCATCAGATTTAGATTTATCTGCCCTGAAATTTTCAAAAGAATTCGACAACCTGTTGTTGGGTTGCTGCCCCTGAGTTAGTAATTTTACAAAAATTTGCAGTTTTTTGTTATTATCTTAGATATCATTATAATATCTAATATCTAATACTATTAATTATGATTTTAACCTTATTTTACATGATTTCCAAAGCATCAGTAAATACAGGTGAGCGACACAGGCTCTTGAGAGCCTCTAGTTATATATACATTCCAAAATTATGGAAACTGATCTGTCTTTTGTTATACTGTTTAATAATTTGTGTGAAGCCTCAATACCATGTGAATAAAACAAATTGAATGAAATTGGGGTGTTTGTTTATTTTATCCTTTTCTGCAGGCTTGAAAACAGTCATGACAATGTCTTACCTTGCCAGAAATAAGTGTAGATGGCAGTGCTCCCCTTTTTATGCTCCCTTCTGTCCATTCTGTGCATACATCTGCTCTTACAGTCCTGTCCTGTAATGTATTTTTAGTCCCCTACCGACAAAGTTGAAGGGGACTTTAGGTGTGCACTCCGTCCGTCTGTCCATCCGTCAGTCCGGCAAATCAGCTTTCCACACATTTTTTTTCGTTCTTGAAGATATTGATTTGATATTTGGTATATAGTTTTATCATGGCAAGTTATAGATCAAGTTGAATTTTGTTCCGGTCTGATGATTTAGTCCAGAGTTATGGACCATATCTAATGTTAGAGTACTATGTTAAACCATATTTCTGTACAAAGGGAGATAACTCATTTTTTAAAAGACATTCTTTGTTAAATTATTTGAAGAATTTTTTGGCAGGTTTGTTTGTTATTTAGTATAAACTAATTTTCTGAATGCTATAGATATAAAAAAAATTACGAAGAGAAATCCTTTAATTAAATAATAATCTATTTTTGTTAATGTATATATTTCAATACATTACATTGTGTAGATAAAAGTTGTTGACATTTTATAGATAAGTTACAAATCTATATTAGTTTGTGACAAATGAAAGAAAAAATATTTGGAACTATTAATTATATTTGATTATAATTTGAAAATAGATATACACTGTATTACATCATATCTAATTTTAGAGAACTATTAATCATATCTTATGTTTTTTTTCACACATATAATCAGTTTTCCACACTGGTTTTAGTCATGCTTGAAGATATTGACATGATATTTACTTTTTGTTTACACCATGACATGTTATAGATCAAGTTAGCATTTTGTTCAAGTAAAATGAACTTTTACCCCTGTAGGGGACTATGTATTGCCATGCAATATTCTCAGAATGCTTGTTGTTTTCTGAACATGCTGAAGGAAAATACTTTTCAATGCAAAAAAAAAACAAACAGAATCCATCAAAAATACTTTGATTTATTGGCCTATTTCAATATATTTCTATATACATGATATACATGCTCTTTGGACTATTAGTTGGAAAAGATTTTGGTGCATACTGTATATGTAAGTCATTTATGTAGTTAGTAATTGAATAATTTATTTTATATTTTAGGATGGCATCAAATAATGAGGGAAAGCTATGTCCCCCATTTTGTTATGTTGATTGCAAAACAAAACATCATCCTATAATAGTAGAAATGGTTAATGTAAAAAGAACTGATACAGATTTTTCTGAACTCGATAAGTTGATTAAAACATTCGACACTTGTGAGGAGGTGAGTTATGTAGTATAATTAACGTTTAATTTAGTCATTGTTAAGATACAATGTAGGTCATTCTACAGGTTAGTAAACAAAATGTAAAAGAGAGAAGAACGATACCTAAAGGATATTCAAATTCATAGTTGAAAAACAAACTAACAATGCCGTGGCAAAAAACAAAAAAAAAAAGACAAAAAGACAAACACTCAGACTGAAAGAAATATAGCTTTCTTTGTGCAAGGTGATCTCACATTAGCTAAAATAATGAATCGATAAAAGCTATTTATAGGCAGATGTCATTTTTTTCAGAATGGAGGATGGGATGTGAGTGCAGATATTCCTGATCCTAATCTAGAGTATAGACTTACCATGCTCCATTGGGCTGCTGCGCTTGGTACTATAATTGTTATGAATTTATTGACAATTTCTTAAGCCTCAAATGTAAACAATTTATGCAATAAAATTGTCGATTCATTGTCCACAATGCAATACAATTTTAGGCATAAAAACAGAGAGTCTGTATCAGTCTGAGCTAAGACACTATGAAGTAAAAACAAGCTTAGACTGTCACAAGCCAAAACATGTTTTAAGCGATACATAATTTTCTTTATAATTAGAGCCTCACGAATATTATATTTCAATGCAATCCATTCCTCACATGATGGAGATGAAAAACAAAATAGCCATGAAAATAATCAGATTTTTGGAATTAACTTTTTTTGGGAAGGTATCAGACACGTACAATAATGTTGAGCAAAGGAAAAATAAAACTGTGGACTTAATATCTGTTTACATTCTTCAATAAAATAATAAAAATCTTAAGAACAAATCCCATACTATGCTTGTGGTGGACAGATTTAACTTAGTTATTTACTGAATCTGAGTAATTCTTTGCTTGTCTGTTTTCAAAACCTTGAATAATTTAGGAATACAGGCTCACTGTACTGTCTAGTAATTAATGTAATTGATTTGGCACTGGACATTAAGCAACCTACAATCAATCAATACTGTCTAGTAATTAATGTCTCAAAGGCCCTTGTTAAAAAGAGGCAGAAGATACCTAAAGGTCAACCAAAAACAGAAGATACTTAAAGGTCAACCAAAAACAGAAGATACCTAAAGGTCAACCAAAAACAATTAGTCAAAGAAAAACAGACAGAATAATGGTCTTAAGAAAAATGAAAAATAAACAAACAACAGTTCATAAAACAATACACGGAAAACTGAAGATTGGACAACATAAATCCTATCAAAGAATGGAGATTAACCAATGTGCCCTAGAAGGATCACTAGAACCTGATCCAAAATGTATATAAAAAAAAAAAAAACTTGGAACAATTGTATTTGAATGTTAAAATGATTGTTGTGAAGAGAAGTTTGATCATAGGTATGAAAGTTGTCTTTATTGTAGTTATGAACTCTTTTGCAGGTAAAGTTGAATTAGTTAAATGGCTGCTTAGAAACAAAATGTGTCTACCAAAATATTCTGGAGATGGTCATACAGTTCTTCATAAAATGATAGAGTTATTACAGGAAAACAAAGATATAGCATTTCATGAGATAGGAAATATAATCAATGAACTCCTTGCTATCTTTTGGAAAGATAGTCTAACTGTCAAAAATAAGGATGGAAATATGCCGTTACATATGTGTTGTCTCCCTTTACAAGATAACATTAGCAAAAGTAAACAGGCTTATTATATTTCATGGATTTACAGTATAATCACCAGGTTTAAAAAATCATACCGGTATAAAGGAGATTACCCTAGTAAGTATGTGACTTAAAAATAACATAGTTTATGAAAAATTCTTTATGGAGAAGTATATAAAATTGTATAAAAATAAGTTGATGTGGTATGATTGCCAATGAAATCACTTTCCATCAGAGACCAAATGACATGGATGTACACAAAATTTGTTGGTATTTCAGATTTTAAAAAAGATTGAAGGCATTTAAAGATAATTTAACTGGATCTGCATAATGCATAATAAATGGTATATGTGTTTAAGATTGGGGAAATATTTCTACAAGTGTATAGTAGTACAAATGGCTGTTAAAATGCTTTTGTTTTACTTTTGTAATCTGTCGTTGGTTAACTTTTCTTTAAATATTTAATCATCTGAAACAGCTCAATAAATGAAAAGAAAGTTTGTCTGCTTTATCAAAAGGATATCTTATATGAACTTAGTGATTTTAGTCGAGGTTGATCAACCAACATGGCCACCTTGACACAAAAAAACATAGGGGTTAATCTGCAGTTTTTGGCTAATATATCACAAACTTTAACAGTTAAAGAAAACTAGGGTAACACTGGTCATCCGTTCTAATGTTAATTTTTAAGTTTTTGGCAGTTCTTGGATATTGTTTCCAAAACTATAGGAGCTACCGGTAGGTTAAAAGTGTAAATCACAAAATTGTTTAACATGGTATGTTCTATCTACCCTAGATATTTTAGAAAATCTAAAGACCCTTTGTAATGCTTTGCCCCTGAAATGTAAGTATTTACCAATTTTCACGGATTTTTTATGATTATCTTTAAAAATATATGAACTAGGGTAAAGTGTAAATTGAAATAATGATTAGCACAAACAGATGTATGTTCGTGAAAATCGAAGAAAACTCTTAATAACAGGTTTTGGAGTAATTGCACCTGAAATATCTATTTTTACAGATTATTGCAGTGTTTGGCAGTTATCTGACTATAATAGGAGTTAGGTTAAAAATGTAAAAATTATCAGCACAACAAGATTTATCTACTCTGTTGATTTTAGAAAAACATGTCAATCCATTTGGGAGTTTTTGCCCCTGAAATATCAGTGTTTTCCTATTTTAGCAGTTTTTGGCTGGTATCTTGAAAATTGTACATGCTGTAGAGCTAGTTTAAAAGTGAAATTTGCAAAAAATGTTCAACATGATAAGATCTATCTATCTACCCTGAAAGTTTCAGAAAATCTGATGACTTCTTCTAGGGTTGTTGTCCCTGAGATGTCAATTTAAATATTTTTAATTTTTTTTTTGCAGTTTTGGTTGTTTTTTTTCTTCTAAAAGTATAGGTGCTACATGTAGGTTAAAAGTATAAATTGCAAAAAATGATTAGCAACACAAAAAAAACAAAAAACTAGTATGTTCAATTAAAGGTCCTCATAAGCAGTGTTCATCAAGTGAGTGATTCAGGCTCATGACATGATGTGAGCCTCTTGTTTAATATTCAGAATTCAGATGTAGTTTGCCAAGTTTTAATGTATACACAATTTCAATTAGATCCTAAATACAGACCAAGTACATATATTGCACCTTTAAAGATGTCATGATATGTGGAACAGTCAGAGCTCCGACATAAACAAGTCTGTTTTTGTTTCTTACTTAATAAAATTGAGAATGGGAATGGGGAATGTGTCAAAGAGACAACAACCCGACCAAAGAGCAGAAAACAGCCAGAAGCCACCAATGGGTCTTCAACACAGTGAGAAAATCGGCGGGCTTCAGCTGGCCCCTAAACAAAAATGTGAACTAGTTCAATGAAAATGGACGTCAAACTAAACTCCAAAACATATAAATGAACTAAAATTAAAAAACATACAAGACTAAAAAAGGCCAGAGGCTCCTGACTTGGGACAGGCTCAAAAATGCGGCGGGGTTAAACATGTTTTGTGAGATCTCAACCCTCCCCCTATACCTCTAGCCATGTTAAAGAAGTCAAATTATGTATTTTGATAAAAATGTGTTTACAATTTGGGACTTGTCCTAGTCAGAAAAGGACAGACTTGTTTAACATGTTTTAAGTCTATTTATGCTTCATGAAACAGGATGAAAACACATTATTTGACCTTGTGGTCAAAGTAAATCACCTATGATGACAAGACAATCTTTCAGAGAATTTACAAGGACCTGAGCTATTTATAAATAAGCTACATGTACAAGTAATGATCTGATTGAACATTTTTTTAAATCTTCATTTTTTTCCAATTTTAGTGGTTATAAATGGTTGTACCAGAAAGTGAATGGACATTTTTGTTCAGAAGACAATGCATTGCCTAACAATGTTTTCTCAATTTCATTACCTTTTTATATTTGTGCATGGGTCTTGAAGTTAGCCAATTTTGGCAACTTTTCGCCTTGAAGAAATCATTAATCGCAACATTTTGATAAAGGTCAAATATTTTTTGCTTAACATATATTGACTTGTTGGAAAAACATTTTTTTTTAAATAAAGGGAGAGAACCGATGAAACATGCAAATTTAGACCTCTACAAATCAAAAGCAAAATTAGACTAATTTATGTCTGAGCTCTGGCTGTTGAAGTAACATGTATGTTTTTCAAATCACAAGTGATTTAGTACCTTCCCAGTGATTCTTGCCTTACCTGTATTTATAGCTTGCCTTACCAGTCAGGGGACTTACTTAAATGAGTGATTTTCTAAATCACTGATTCAAGTAACATTATTTACATAAAGGTTGGAAGTAAGAGTTGTCTTTCTTTAATAATCACCTATTTAAGTAGTACAAATTAATCACTAAACTAAGTGATTTAATTTTATTGTAGCTTTAAATATAGAATACTTATGATCCAGGAACTAATTATGTTGCTAAAATTATCAGAACCAACATCTGTGTTGATAGGATGACCGGGTCATGTCAGGTGATGACCTTGTACTAAATCTAGGATAATGACATAAAAATCACTTGTTCAAGTATCATACCTCAATTTCCTTCCAAAAAATCACTTCTTTAAGTATCATTATTTTAATAACCCCCACTAATTTCAACACCCCCGAACAGTGAAATTTTGATCACGAACAGTAGAATTTTATTACATAATCTATAAGATGAAACCTTGAATTTTACAGGAAAAATACTCCCACTGCTGGGAAAAATCTGTTGAGAAAGTATCAGTTCATTATGTAAAGCCATTTTTATAGCATTTTTTCAAGTAAAATAGAATTTGCAGCTAAATGATTGCATCAAAGGCATAAACCTTGATGCTTGAAAGAGGCAAAAAGTTCATTTTTTTCAATTTTACTAATGAAAAGATATTATCTAAAGCTATGTGTTTAAAATTTTGGTAAAACTACAAAATCACAATTTGTGACAAAACTTCGAATTTGCTACTTAAATAAGTGATTTAAAAGCCACTTATTTCAATAAGTCCCCTGACTGCTTACCTGTATTTATAGCTAGCCTTTTACAAATTATATTATGCCACAACATATCATGTGATTTCCATCTTTATAATCATAGTTAATTTTGAGTTTTTTACTTGCCCATAGGACAAATACACTACAGCTTTTACTTGCACAATGATAACTTTCACTTGTCCTGGGCAATTGGACAGCCGTTAATCATGTTAATGTCGAACCCTGCTACATTTGCATTTACTATGAAAATTACATACTTTGAAATTGAAATTGTATGGAAAATAACATTGTTAGCGATCTGATGCCTACATTTCTTGTAAGATATTTAATAAAAAGTCTAAAAAACAAAAAAAAGTATTTTTTTTAATTATTGTCCTTTATTATTTTAGAATTGAGTTACATTGTGAACTCAGTGAATGACAATGGTGATACTCCTGTACATATATTGGCCAGATTCTCCAAGAACTACAATACTATTCAATTCATGTTGGAACCTGTACATTTTGATTTTGGGCTTAAAAATAATGAGGTAACTTTTTTGTCACATTCATATTTATAATGGTTAAAAATGTAAATTACTTTAATTTGAATGCAGTTTCCAAAAGGGATCTACTTATAGATATTATAACTGAATTCTTTAGTCAACTCTTTATAGAAGTTATTATCCTTAATTAGGTTATGATCTTTGATCAAATTTAGTGTTTTTGTTTTTATACGCCCGTTTACAGGACGTATTATGGTATACTGTTATAAATTTTAGATTTTACATTTTCCAGTTATGGGATTTTATTCATAAAAAAGGGGTAATTTTCCAGTTTTTGGACAATAACTCAAAAGTGCTTTGAGCAGTTTTCATGAAACTTTGGTGACTGGTTTATATCTATTAAAATAACCTCCCTTTAGTTTTTTATAAATTTCTGATATGACATTGAGGAGTTATGGAACTTTATTCTTTGAAAAAGCGACAGGTGTATCATGCGCTCATGGTGCAGCTCTTTATTACCTTTTATCTTGATGTCTGTAATAGATAGTCTCAAACTTTGAACTGCACAAATAATCAGCAACACAAGGTCCACAAATAAGTCGATATGAATGAAATAGTCAATCAACAGACAATTTTATCCCATTTTTGTCATTTTTGGTTATTTTCTTGAAATATATAATGGATAGACAGAAACTAAGTTTCCATTCAACTAAAAATATAATTGTTGCATTGTGTCAGTTTAATGCAAAAAAGCCAGGAGAGTTATACTGGCCCCTTGGAGCCACTTGTTTTTATATGAAATTAACTAGTTTTTTGTCTCGCCTTGACGGAGTCAAAAAGCGAGACATAGGTATGCTGTTTCAGGCGACGGTGGCGGCGTCAACAATGTATTAGTTTGTGATTAGGTCTAGTTCATGGTGAACCACTAGTGGTAGGTAATAATATTTGGTATGCAGTTATATTAGTATTGGCACATCTCATTACCATTGAGATTATTTGGCACTGCCCCCTCAGTCAAGGTCTATTGACTTTGAAACTTTTCATAGTTTTCATGTATTAGTTTGTGATTAGGTCAATTTATGGAGAACCACTAGTGGTAGGTCAATGATATTTGGTATGCAGTTGTATAAGCATTGGCATATCTCATTTCCATGGAGATTATTTGGCTCCGCCCCCTTAGTCATGGTCTATAGACTTTGAAAATTTTGCTAAGTTAACATGTATTAGTTTGTGATTAGGTCAGTTCAAGGGGAACCATTAGTGGTAGGCCAATGTTAATTGGTGTTCAGTTGTATAAGTATTAGCACATCTCATTTCCATGGAGAATATTTGGCCCTGCCCCTCAGTCATGGTCTATTTACTTTGAAACTTTTGCTTAGTTTACATGTATTAGTTTGTGATTAGATCAGTTTAAGATGAACTGCCAATGTTAAGTCAATGATATTTGGTATGCAAATTTATTGGCATTTACAACTATCGTTTCCATGGAGATTATATAGCCCCACCCCTGATCATGGTTCATTGACTTTGAAACTTTTACATAGTTTATAAGTTAATGTTTGTGTTTAGGTTTGTTTAAAGGGAACGACTTATAATAAGTCAATGGTATTTGGTATGCAGTTGTATTAGCATTGGCACATCTCATTCCATGGAGATTGTTTAGCCATGTACCTTCAGTCATGGTTCATAGACTTTGAATATTTGCATAACTTACATGTTAAAGTATTGCTATTTTAATTTCAACATTTGCATTATCAAAATTACAAAAAGGCGAGACATATCTCTGTGATAACAGTTTATTTGTTTTATTTAATCCTACTGAACATCATTATACAGATATATTTTGAATCACTTTTTTGTTAACAGGGGATGACTGCATTAGATGTTGCCTTCAGCTGTGGTAATGAAAAAATCTCCACAATGTTGATAAAGATTGGTAAAGAGTCAATGGAATACAGCAACCTAAAGAAAGGAACAGAACAACCTGTTTGTCAAAACACTCGTTTTTCACAGCAACAGACAGAACTGATACGAAAAATTACCAGAACAAAATCAACCTCTGGAAATGACAGAACTCTATCTTCTACAGCAGACCATGATATGAAAATCTCTCCTAATCATAAACCAAATGAAGGATGTTTAAAAATACCATCTTCACCATGCTCATCTTCACATGTATATACAAAAACTTCCCCAGAGTCCAAAAAAGGTTTGATTAAACCAAAACAAATGAAAGTCTCATTGTCTCCCAGTGCAAGTCATGAAAAAAAGGAAGATTTTCAAATTAAAATCTCATCTAGATCAGAAAACATTTCATCAACTTCGTTGAGTGCTAACAAACAAGAAAGGTCTGATTGTAGAATAAAATCCTCTCCCAAATCAGAAGACCTGAATAATGAATTGACAAGAGTGACATCAACTTCAAATGCTATCAACAATGCAGATTCTGTCACACAGATGAAAAATTCAACACCAGCTCATGTCTGTAACATTAAACGGTATGAAGATTGGGTTGGACCGTCACCAGTAGACATGAGCAAGGGAAATGACGCTCTTATTTTACAGGATATAAATGTATCGGAGAAATCAGATAGTAACTATGGTAACAATTTGTGTTTACCTTTAGATTCCAATAATCAAATCACTGGAAAAGTGCCAGAGCCTGCACAAAAGAAGAAGCAGAAAGTATATTATGCTATTAAAGGGAATCAAATTCATATTACTGACAGTTTAGGTAGTCCGTCAGATAGTTTTGTTGATAGTTTATCTGTCGCACCAGGTTATGTTCCGAAAAATGTTCCTATTGTTCTGAGAGGAAAAAATGCAAGAATGAAAAGAGTGGCTAGTTTTCCTTTATCAGGGACAATTCATCAAGGAATTCATCAACTAAAGCACAAAAATATAGTGTCACATGTTAAAAAAATTAGTACAGAAAATAACCAGTCATCTTGTACTGATAATGATGATAATATTACACAAAGTAAAAATTCAATTCAATCATCTGATTTTGGAAAAGGAGTTCCTTGGTCCAGACAGACATTTTGTGTTATTCCTGCATCAAAAGCTTCCGATTTTTTGGCCTCTAAAGGTTTGCTTCTAAAACAGTCAATACCATCCACAGTAAAAACATGGAAATCAAGTGAATGTCAGGAAGATAAGATCATGTCGGTCAATAAAATTCCTAAAGAAAATGTAAAAAAATCCATCAACAGTGAATCTCATTCAAAGACTTTACCAAAGCCAAATACAACTATGAGTACGATCGTGGACAAATTCTTAAATACTAGATATTCAGATGAGTCAAATTCACAGCATGTTTCAGACATGACAGTATCACAAACATCTCCCCAAATTACAGTAGTATCTAGTACATCAAATGGTTGCAAAAGGAAAGACATAACTTCGGTCTCATCAAGCTGTAATGACAAAGACCATCCAATCAAGTACATAAAGGTATTTCTATTGAAGGAGAAGAAATGGGATATTTGTCATAGGGACAACATGTAGACATCAGAAAATGTCGATATTATAAAGGTCCCCATTTACTGACGACCATTGTTAACCCTTAATAAACTCAGGCAATGATCAATTGCAATATATGAGTGACTAGTTAATATATTGTTAATTGTTTTCTAGCATGTCTAGTAGGGGATGCTGTAAAAGTATTGCTTAAATTACAAATAATACGGTCTGTAAAAAAGGTGGCAACTTGTGACAAAATTTATTTAAATCTATTGCATAATTAACAATAAACATTCATGTAATATTTTAATTTAAAAAACAAGAAAGTTTAACTGATTAAGTAAATGCATTCTACCTTTTTCTTTATATCAAAATTTCAAATTCTCTTAATGAAAATTGCAAACAAATTTGTTGAATATGATGAACAAGTATAAAAAATTCTTATGTTTAACTATATCAGTAGCATATGACTTTATGACCAGCAAAATCTAGCTTTTCTACTTAAGGTAATTCTTTCACAAAAAACTGTAAAAACCTACTTGATCAATGTCTCTTAAGGCCATGGAAAAATGAATGTTGGTTTCCCCTAACATGTGAAAATTATTAAGACCCGTCAGGCAGGAAAAACTTTTTATTTTATGTTAACCTGACAGTAAATTCTTGTTTTACATTCTATATTTTGGTATAAGCTATATGAAACTAAAGGAATGATAATTGAACAATGTTGACATGCTTTTAAGAGATTGTCAGACAATTTTAAAAAGCGTCATTGAAAATTGTCAAAAGAAACCAAAGCAATACCTTTCTTTCACCTGCAAAAAAGAAAAAGAAAAAAAGTATTGACCTGGGAGACAAACACTAATTTTTTCATGGCCTAATGACTGTAGTTTCCAACAGGTAAATAAAAATTTTGGAACATTTGATAAACCACATTCAAAATTAAGAATTGCATGTGTTTTAGCAACCACTAAATATGGAATTCTTATAAAGAATTAGGACTGTATATTTGTTTCCAAATTGAATATTAGGATCTGTTTGATATATATCTGATTTGGTCTACCTTACAGATAGAGGATGATGATTCAGTGGAGATGGAGGTTTCATTGGCTGATCAGAGGTACATGTTTTTTTTTTATATATATGGAATGAAAGAAATTAAATGATCAACTAATAATGCAGGTAGGATATTCAACCAATATAAAAGTAAGAGCATGTGGTTTGATTGCCAATAAGACAACTATCCACAGGAGTTCAAATGAATTTGGATATAAGCAATTATAGGTCACTGTAATGCCTTCAATAATGAGAAAAACCCATATTGTATAGTTAGCTATATAAGGCCCAGTAAAACAAGTGCGTAAGATTGATTGATTGATTGGCTTTTAATGCCACTTTCAGCACTATTGTGCTATTTCGTGGTGGTCAGTTTTTATTGGTTGAGGAAGCCTGAGTGCCCGAAATGAAACCATGACCTTCTGTAGGAAAACTGACAATCCTAGTCAATTAAGATAGGATCCCATCACAATCCCAGTGTTGACAGGCTAGTGATACAGTAGTTCGACTACTTAGACCACTCGGCCACCAAGGCCCCTCAAGTGAGTAAGAATGGAAATGTTGCTATCAAGGAAAAATTATAAAGGTTTTGTATTCAAATGACCCTTGAAGTGCTTTGATAGGTGTATATGCAGGTATGACAAGTCTTAAACAGGTCAGGTTGCTTAATTAATCTGGCTCATTTTGATGGCTGATTTACAGATTATCTGTAAACACATTATATTTAGGGAAAATACCAGCTATACTAGAGAAAATGAAATAAAAGGAATGACCTTACATCTTTGCATATTTCTGGTTATCATAGACTTATAGAAATGTTGTATGATTGCCAAAGAGACAACTGCCCATCAGTGTCCAAATGAGTCTGAGCTAGCACTGATTATTTGTGAGGAATTTATGTAGTCCAAAAAATCAAATAATAATGAACAGATATTGCAAAGAGCAAAACCACAAAGATGACAAACAACAGAGAATCTTTTGCCATGATAGATCTTCCACACAGTAAAAATAGATCTTCAGTCAAGTGCATAACCATACAGCTAGAATTATTATGTAAAAAGTGCTATTATGGTATTAAAACTAAAGATTAAGTTAAAAAAAATGTTCATATGCCGATCCAAAAAATTTTTGCAAGAATTAAAGATAAACAAGGTATGGTCAACTTTCTTTAAAATTGTTTTTTTTAGGGACAAATATGTTAAAACCTACAGGAATTCCAATATTAAAGAGTCGATGAAATATATTTTAAATATTTTTTAGCCATTTTTCCATAAAGTCAAAATGTTATTCTGCGCTACAAATAGCTGTTCAAACAATATTGCAAATCTTTTTAATAAGGGTAGACATAACATTGTTAAGCATCAGTCTAGTATATGAATTTACTTTTCAGGACAACTAAGTTGTCATAAGGCTTTCAAAGTGTTGTCATATTTGCTGACTTTGACAACAGCGATATTAGAAAGAAAAGAAAATAATAAAAATTAATCGGAGAATACTATTGATCCAGTCTGACATTATTTGAGAAGATGTAGACTCTTAAATAGTATGGCTGTTAACAGAAATCACAGAAATTGAAATGTTCTTCTAGTAGAAATATAAGCCACACAGATTTCATGTTGTTTTTTTTTTGCATGCACTTTTTTCAGACAGCATGGTAGAGAAGTAATATGCATTTCCATATAAAAAAAAGTGACAACCTTTTTTTATAGGGCACTATCAAATACAAGCCCATTTCAAAGTCTATCAAGTCAGTCTTCTACCTGTAAGTATATCATATTTATGTTAATTAAGTAATAATTTATGCAAGCCATAGATTTGTTGGCAATTTTCACATGGCCTGTGCCATTGCATTTAAATTTCATCCTGAGCGTTTTTTTGTTTAAAACAGTTTTCTATACACAACAAAATCATCAGCATGATCAGAAAGCAGTCAATCTTTTCCCAAATTGCACCAAATGTTAGCTTGATTTACTTCTTTTAGTTGCTCTTACTAGACCAAGTACCAGAATGTCCTACATCAGAGAAGGTAACCTGTCGAAAAATCATATACTCTGGAGTCAAAAATCAGTTATACGAAAATAATCTATTAATATAACTGTTTGTTTTTATGCCCCCGCCGTAGCGGTGGGGGCATTAAGTTTTACCCTTGTCCGTCCGTACGTCCCAAAATTGGTTTCCGTTCTCTAACTTGAGTTTGACTCAACAAATGTTATGAAACTTATACACAATGCTTATTACCACAAAACACAGATCAAGTTTGAATTTTGGTGGCGTCACTCTAACCGTTCCAGAGACACAGATCAAATTTGAATTTTGGTGGCGTCACTTTAACTGTTCTAGAGTTATGCCCCTTTATAAATGGAAAAATTGCAAAATTTTTAGTTTCCGTTCTCTAACTTAAGTTTGCCTCAACCAAACGTTATGAAACTTATACACAATGCTTATTACCACAAAACACAGATCAAGTTTGAAATGTGGCATTTTAGCATAAAGTATTATTAAATAATTCAATGAAGATACAATGTAATTATTCAATATTTAAATGATTCAATACTAAAAACACAGAAGTACTTCTATATTTGAGTTAGATTACCATGATTATATTGAATGTGTTTTTACCTCTTATATTATTAAAGGTAGTATAGATTCTGATCATGGGAACGGAAAAGGAATAATGTCCTATCTGTCTATGTGTAGTGAAAACACCAAACATGATTTTCTAGAAACGCTGTACAAGGACAGGGATAGATATATGGACGAGAAAGACAATCTTGAAAAACAGTACAAAGGTAACATCTTAGCTTCAGAACATTTATCAACATACCAGGTTGAATCGATGACCATACACTCAAGTCCAAATGTCTTTAGTTTTCCATGTTCTCTGCACTTTGTTTTTTTTTTATAAAGTAGAATAATTTTCTTATGTGATCTTGTTGCCTTTATTATGTCTTGTCAAATAAATTAACTTATCATATTTTTCTAATTAAAAAATCTGGTTCTTATATATTGAAGAAGTTCAACTGTCAGCTTGTTCAGTAAACAATGCCTGTGCAAAAATTTATATCAACTGGAAACTTATCTTAAAGGGGCCTTAATTGTCAAATCCATGTTCATTGATTTTTTACAACATACTAAAACATCTATCCAAATTACAAAAAGTAAAAAAAAAAACAATTTACAATGTGTGTATCAACATTTCGTGTGTATTTTAGAATAGACGCCATCTCCATGTAATTAACCATTGAGATGATCTCTGAAGATTTCCGTAGGTCATATTTTGATTTGTTTGTCAACTTCGTAGCTAATGCCCCTTTAACTGAACTTCTGTTCTTGGATGTACAATGAATACAAGTATTTTGATAGTTGTAAACCTAACATACATGTATGTCCTAAATCAAGTAGGAGATATAACTAGTGCCAATATTTGTCCCATGAAATTTCAAAAGGAAACATTTTCAATTCTTTCAAAATAATGTTAATTTTCTTGATAAATAAATGAATAGGATGAATTAATCTGGAAACTTGAGTTCAGAAATGTCAGTTGTGTTGTCATTATGACATCATAAGCATGTTGAAATTGATGTATTTGACCTAAAAGTGCAATTTACTCATAATTTTTTGGTAAAATTAGCTATGAACCAAGTCTTTACACACATATGTACTTGATACACATCTTTGTATAAGAAATCTTGTAGAAAAACATCTTTTTGAGTAAGGCATTGACTGATCTAAATACTAATGACAAGATTTCAAAATGAATCTATCTTGGCAGTATTTGCATTTTTCCATTAGATGTAAAAAGGCTGAAGCCCTTACACAAATACCTAAGAAACAATTCAAAAGTAAAGATATTGATATCTGACAGATGTCTTGTGAACATCTGAATGATGTTGAATGATATTTTTTTTTTAAATTTAGCTTTTCAAATTCAAATAACAAAAAGGTAGCCTTCTCGTACCTAGTTCTTTGTGTAAATTGCTTATTTCTTGACCAATTTCAATGGGGTTTAATTCAAAGTCTTAAATTCTTAGGGTTATTTGATATGCTGAATTTAATCGTGTATTTAGATTTTGAATTTTTGGCCCCGTTTTAAATTGGTCCACATTGAGGTCCAAAGGGTATAAAATTTAACTTTGTTTGATTTCATATAAAAATGAATTATTGGGGTTCTTTGATATACCAAAACCGCGTATTTAGATTTTTGATTTTGGGCCCTTTTTTAAATTGGTCCATATTAAGGTCCAAAGGGTCCAAAATGAAACTTTGTTTGGTTTCAACAAAAATTGAATTCTGGGGGTTCTTTAATATGCTAAATCTAACTGTGTATTTAGATTAATGATTTTGGGCCCAGTTTTCAAATTGTCCACATTAAGGTCCAAAGGGTCAAAAATTAAACTTTGTTTAATCATGTTAATTTCACCAAAATATAAATTCTTGAAGGTCTTTTATATGCTGAATCTAACCGTGTATTTAGATTAATTGGCTTGGTTTTCAAATTGGTCCACATTAAGGTCCAAAGTCAAAGTTAGCTTGATTTTAACAAAAATGGAATTCAAGGTTTTTTTTTATATGCTGAATCTAAACTTGTAGTTATATTTTTTTATTTCGGGCCCAGTTTTCAAGTTGATCCAAATCGGGGTCCAAAATTATACTTTGTTTGATTTCAACAAAAGTTGAATATATGAGGTTTTTTGATATGTTGAATCTAACCATGTATTTGGATTTTGGGCCATGTTATCAAATTGGTCCACATTAAGGTCCAAAGGGTCCAAAATTAAACTTTGTTTGATTTCATCAAAAATTGAATTGGTTCTTTGATATGCTGAATCTAACCATGTATTTAGATTTTGGAAATTAGACCATAATAGGTGAATGTCCCATTTTGAATTTTTAAGTTCTTAGACCACATTCATTCTGTGTCAGAAAACTATGCTATGTCAAATATTTAATTACAATATTGTATCGATATCTCAATAGCATGAGTTCGAATCTCGGCGAGGGAAGAACAAAAATTTGCTTCCACAAATTTGCAGATTTAACATTGTTATGGTGATATTTAGAGTAATTATGAATATATATATATATATATATATATATATATATATATATGTTACAAAAAATGTGTATAATTAAGGATTATGTAGAATCCCTGCAATTTTCAGGGATTATGTATAATCACTGATAATTTTAGAAACATGAATATTAAATTTGTAAGCACAATATTCTTGTGTTAATCAGAAACATCTGAAGGTGCTAAAATGGTCAATCAGACACTTCTAATTGATTCCTTGTGTAATATCTGACAAAATTTTCATGGTTCATAGCAAAGCATTTTCATTTTCAGTCCTTTTATGAACAATGGTCATTAGAGCTGTTCCATTAAAACATACATGGTACCCAGGGAAGGCACTTCAAAAATGGGGTAACCACCTATAGAGGCATATTAGAATTTCGTTTATATTTCCACTATGCATAAACAAAGATGACACCCACCCATAGTTGAGATTTGGAAGTGCCTTCCCTGGTTCCCATGTATGTTTTTATGGAACAGCCCATATACTTTTGTGGTCTCCTTTTCCATGATCAACATGCAGAAAAAATCGCCGGAATCGGTATAACATTACAGCCAATGTTGGCCACATCCAAAATTGTGTTCAATCCATTAAGCATGTGTTCTGTTTGTGTTTCTGTACCTTTAGTTGCATTGCTTTGCTTAGTTTGAATTCCTTGTTCTTTGGAACAAAGAAAACATAAAATAGAGATTCAATCCCTTTCATTCCCTTTGTTTTACAACAAATTACATGATCTATGCATTCATGTTAGTATTAATAATTTCAATTTTAAATACATTTTTGTTTATGACTAAATGTGGTTCAACACAGTTGAATAGAATATCACCAGTAAAACTGTTCACTTTTATAATAAGATTTGATAAATGGACAGTGAATGAAAACTGTCCACTTAAACCATAAAGGGTAATACATATGATATATTTGTCAAATTTGACTTATTCTTATCAAGCAAAGGATCTTTGTATTATTGATAATCCCTGAAATCATTTCAGGGAATTTGTCAAAGAATTCTTAAAATTTTCAGTGATTATGTAAAATCACTGATCATTTCTAGGGATTATATATAATCACTAATGATTTTAGTGATTATGCAAAATTCTTGAAAAATCAGGGATTCTACATAATCCCTGCTTATACAAATTCACTGTAACATATATATTTATATATGTATGTTACAGTGAATTTGTTTCAAATCTTAAATCGTACATAGATGACAACATAATACCAAAAGGTTTAAATATCAAATTGACACCTCAAACACTGGGTGTAAACAGGTTTATGAAACGTTCGGACGATATTTTATTCAATTGATCTTTCCGACTTCTTCAACTTTTACTCTCTTTTTCTATCTACAGTTACAAACAAATTAATTCAGAAGTAAATGAAACGTTTCTAAAATCACCACTGCCTGTTACTACTAAAGACATGGAAGTAATTCAGAGAAGACTATCCCACATCCAAAAAATAGAAAAACAAAATTTCAAAGCCACAGAGAATAAGAAATTCATACAAGATCGTTTCAACTAACAAAGTTCTGTTTTTGAAAAAAAATCAAATTTAAAGAGAAAGTAAATTTAAACGACAGAGAAAAAAACGTTTTAAGAAACATAAACACTCAGTCCAAGATAATTTAGTTGTAAATCTGTCATCAATAGAACTAACTGCCTTTGAAGAAAAAATATTGAGTAAAGGCCTTAATTTCTGTCCAGTACCAGCTACCTTCAATAATTTACAATTAGAGACAGATGTAGAAGAATTTGCCAGGCGTCTTCGTTTGAAAGAACATTTCAGAAGACAACAGAAGAAAAATTTAAAAGAAACCAGAATGAATGAATCTGAATATGAAAGTGATGAAGGAGACATATGCATCCTCAGATTTAAAAAGAAAAGTACATGGAATCCACCTAAAAGCAAAAACCATAATTTGGAATCATTTATAACATCAGTTAAAGCTGAAGTCAGATCTTCAATCAGTGGTAAACAAGTATGGACTATTTCAAATAGATATAAGAAGATGTGGTATGAGTGCCAATGAGACAACTCTCCATCCAAGTCAAAATTTAAAAAAGTAAACCATTATAGGTCAAAGTACGGTCTTCAACACAGAGCCTTGGCTCACACCGAACAGCTAGCTATAAAGGGCCCAAAAAATTACTAGTGTAAAACCATTCAAACGGGAAAACCAACGGTCTATAAATCTATATAAAAAACGAGAAACACTTATGAACCACATCAACAAATGACAACTACTGAACATCAGATTCCTGACTTAGGACAGGTGCAAACAATTGCAGCGGGTTTAAACGTTTTAATGGTACCAAACCTTCACCCTTATCTGAAACAATAGTGTAACATCACAACATAGAAAGAAGTCAGAAAGCCAAGCCATGAAAAACTTAAAAGACCATGACGACATTGTTATCAAACAAGCAGACAAAGGAAGTACCGTTGTTGTGATGAACAAGGCAGACTACATTGAAGAAGGGAATCGTCAGCTCTCTAATACTAAATTTTATAAAGAGTTAACATGTGATCAAACTAATCAGAAAAAAAAAAAATGACGTCCTCTCGGAAATGAAGAAAGATAAACAAATTGATGACAACACATACGATTATCTACGCCCAGATGAAACTCGCACAGCTGGTCTATTTTATTTACTTCCAAAACTCCATAAAGAAGGGATTCCAGGGAGACCTATAGTATCAGCTAATGGTCATCCTACTGAAAAAATTTCAGAAATTGTTGATTACCATCTTACACCACATGTTAGACAACTGCCATTTCATATTCAAGATACAACTGACTATTTGAAGAAATGAATTCCTTAAGTCCCTTACCTAACAACACAATTTTGGTTTCGATGGATGTGTGTTCTTTATACACTAATATTCCAAAAAATGAAGGAATAACCTCGTGTGAAAAAGTATGGAACACTCGAAAGGATAAACATCCCCCAACTGACTGTCTAGTTCTGTTACTTAAACTAGTGCTTGAAAATAATAACTTTATTTTCAACACAAGCACTTTTTACAGATTGACGGTACTAGTTTGGGAACAAAAATGGCACCTTCTTTTGCCAACTTTTTTTATGAGGATCTTGAAGAACGCATTCTTTTGAGTGTGCCATACAAACACTTGTCTTGGCTCAGTTTGATTGATGATATTGCCATGAAATGGACGATACTGCAGAACATCTACAAGACTTTTTAGATCATTGTAACAAGTTCCATCATTCAATAAAATTTACATCTGAATTTTCAAGCGAGAAAATTGCGTTTCTCGACACCACCACATTTGTAAAAAACGGGGTCATGACAACAGATCTCCACACAAAAAAAACTGACAAACACCAGTTTCTCTCTCCAAAAAGTTGTCAACCAAAACACTGCTCATAGAGCATTCCTTACAGTCAAGCCATCAGACTAAAGCGAATTTGCTCCTCGGAATCCAAACTCAACGACCGTTTGGGACAACTCAGAAAACAACTAAAATTAAGAGGATACAAAAACAAAAATATCAAGGAAGCTTTCGATAAAGCCCAAGAAAAACATCGAAAGATCCTTATGAAATACAAAGATAAGACGACCTGCACAGATAGAATTCCGTTTGTTGTCATCTTCCATCCCGATTTGACAAATATTTCATCTACTGTCTGCAAGCACTGGCGTCTTATTGAAAATGACTCTTCCTTAAAAGAATTTTTTCCATCACCTGTTATTGCTTATCACAGACCCAAAAATCTCAAAGACATCTACATTAAGCTGCAAAAATTTCTTTACAGCATCTGATTTTTTACCTGGATGGCTACACACGCCTGATGACGCTAATTTGTTTAGCGAAATATTGCGTGAATATATAAAATATGACAACTATTTTTATAACACTCATTCGTGTGTTAAAGTTACATTCTTAGGCAGTTATATAATTTAATTTAGTAACTGCATCAGTTTTTTTTTTTCAAACTGATCCACTCCTAGATAGATTGAATGTTGATTTTTGCTATTTTTAGACATTATATATATAAATATATATATAATTCGTCTAAACAACAGCCCAACAATGTTTAGATCTGTAAATTTGCGGAAGCAAATTTTTTGTTCTTCCCTGGCCGTGATTCGAACTCATGCTACTGAGATATCGTGGCACCAAGTCGCCTTGCACCGACGCGCTAGACCACTCGACCTCCTAGGCTCTATAAGAATAAAGCTTTCGGTGCATGCAAAACAAATTTGGTAAAGGGGTCTAAATACAGCACAAACAACATTTTCCAAAAGACCAAAAAAGTGAAAAAGTATATTTTAACAAAACGCATTTGACTTGCAGGTCAAACAACGGATGTTCTTAAACCCTGCTGACTGCCATTGGCGATTGCCAAATAAAATGATCACCAGATGTAACAAAATGGATCTTAAATATTAATTTAATATCAAACAGAAAACAATAAACTTGCGGAAAGATGGTATACCCCAAACAATATTTATTTATATATATAATGTCTAAAAATAGCATATATGTATTTTGATGAAGTGAACACCTTTGAAAACTTAGCTAATATTGTCCATTAATAAATGATTAAATTAAATTCTTGGTATACTAGGATATGCTGAATCGAACCATGTATTTAGATTTTAAATATTGAACCATAATAGGTAAAAATCCAATACAAATTTTTCTGTTCTTTGACCACATTCATTCTGTGTCGAAACCAATGCTGTGTCAAATATTTAATCACAATCCAAATTCAGAGCTGTATCAAGCTTGAATGTAGTTTCTATACTTGCCCCAACTGTTCAGGGTTCAACCTCTGTGTCTATTGGATCATTTTATTTTTTGTTGTTGTTGGGTTGATGTCTCATTAGTGTATAATAGTGTATACCCCATGCATCCCTTACCCCATGCATCCCTATCAATTCCAAAATAAAACAAAATAAAATCATTATTCCCACAGAGATCCCACTTAAACAATGATATAAAATGATATTTCTATTTGTAGAAGTTTGTGTGAAATGTGAGTCCAACATGGAAACAGTTGCAAGCAGAAATTCTATATTAAAATACCACCTAGATAAAGTGAAGCAGCTCCAAACAGAAATTCACGAATTAACTGACCAGACTATGGAAATGTCAGAGGTCAAGAATAAACTGGCAGAATCTAAACTTAAAGTTGAAAAGAAATTAGAAACTTGTGAGAATGCCATTAGTGATTTCAAATCCATGCCATGATGGTATCAATCATCAATCAATGTGAGAATGTCATTAGTGATGTATCAAATCCATGATACTTAGATCAATGCTATTGTACATGTTTGATTTCATTGAAAAAAATCATCATATAAATAGTTATTATGTTATAAATAATTTGTTAAATTTTCAATTCAATATGTTATTTTTGCATGTTTTACTATAAAGCAGTTTGTCATTTTTAAGGTAGTATGGAGTCCTGCACCATTATTGATGGATAAATAGCAGAAAACAATAAGATTACCAGATGTTTTATGAAATAAGCAAATGTTGATACTGGAGTGCAATTCCTTTGGAAGACTTATCATTTAGATAAAAAAAATTATGTGATTTCTGACACAAAATTCCTACATTGGTTTGTAAAAGGACAATGCTTTTATTGTCCTGCCTGTATCAAAAGACAAGATGGTATCCATAGGGATCCTACATTCATCATCTGCCTCGTTGGATTTATCAACATTCAGATTCAGTCTGTGTCTAAAAATTTTAAAGACATCAATAACTTTGTTAAACTTTTATTGAATGTTACATAACTTGGACAGAAGCTTTTTCATGATCAAGAAATAATATCTCAAGATAAAAAAATTATTTTTAAAAAAATTTCTGTATTTTACTGAAGTTAGGACTTAGTTTTTGGCAGTCAACATAACACTTTTACACTGACAGTGACATTTTCAGGCCAGACACAGGGCTCTATGAAACTCTTTTCAAATTCTATTATTTATAGTGTATATTGTTAGTTATTGAATAAATTTGCTATTATTTATGACAATCTGATTAAAATCAGCTGGTGTTTTTTTGGCTCTGATTAATTCAAACTATGCCATTTGAGACAAACATAGTACTGATTTTAATGAGATTGTTATTATGGTTTACTTTGAAAATAGGAACTATTTTTTGCAAACTTTTAGTTGGGTCAATGGACTACCTGGTGCAAGGTTAAATTTTTGTCCCTATACCATATACTTTCTTTATCCAGTTGTAGTCCAAATTTCAAAACCTTCATATTGCTCTACCCTCTTTGTAGAATATTATTATTTTATTAATGGTTCCATTTGTTTCATTTTGGAACAATTGGAACCATGAATCCCAACTTTTTGTTCAGACAAATTGATTTATAGACTTTAGGGTGTTGAAGTTTGAATTTTAATTGTTGGTGTCTAGCAAGGAGTGAGAGATGTTTTGAAAAATGTCCCTAAGTCTTCAGCAAAAACAATATACACGGTGTGACTGTAATGAATAGAGGAAAATATAAGGAATAAATGAATTGTCACTTGGTTTCGAACATGTAAAGGACAAGGTTCACTTTAGGCCAAATATGGCCTTGAATTTTAACTTTTTCATAGAATTTCAAAATGGCCATAATTTGGTTCTTAAACGGATCTATTTCAAAAGCCTTACTACTAGGTTCAACAAATCTCTTCATTAGAGTACATTCTAGGCTTCAAAGTCAGCACATTTTGGATATACTGTAATATAAAAAAAAAAAAGATTTTGTGCATTTTTCTGACCTAATAGCTTCCGGAAACACTTGGCCGCAACCTAGGATCCAAAATGTACTGTAGCCAAAAGTTGCTAGTGATGATATTGAAACCCTAGACATAAAACCTTATGGATCAGTGGTGGCGGCCAAAGTAAATTATGTTAAAAACTGTTAAGAATTATTGAAAATTTGACCAAAATTTACCTTACAACACAAATAATGCATACTTGAGGGGTCATTTCTTCGATATTTTTAATGTGATGTTCCAAAAAGAAGTTAATTTGTACGCATAGTTATATCATAACTAATTCTTTGTAAAATTTGTAGTATTAAAATCTTGGGGCCAATTTTAACCCTTCGTGAACTTACTCCTGTGATATAATAATTTTATATCTTCATACCATTACAGCCAAAAGGCAATGTAAAGGTAATGTCATTTAGAGGCAACATCACAAGTTGACAAGAAAAGGACATCTAGAGGTCACTATACAGTCAATGTTACATACAAAACAAATATAGACTTAATTACGGTATTAGGAAACAAAGCAGAAACTTGAAAACAATATTTTTTTGTCCCATCTACTAAAGTGAGTAGTTATTATGTTTTCTCGTCTGTATGTCTGTCTATTCATCTATCATGTAGTTTACAATGAAGTTGTGGTAAAATCAACTTGAAACTTGGGATACATGTTCATTCTGATGTTAACTTTTAAAGTGATATGCCTTATAAGGGTTTTGACCCTGATTTTTAGTTCACTGAACATAGAAATATATTGCTAGCAGGGTTGGTGACCTATGGACACAGATTCTTCTTTTCAAAATTCTTAATATTTAAAAAGACTTGTCCTTTTCCTTACATGTCAAAAACTATAGTCAGCTGATGAATGAAATATGACTTTATTGTTGAAGACTACATATAAGTTAACTTCTGGATATCTTTTGTTATGTAGAGGTATTGTCTCATTGATGGTATCCCTGACTATATTTATATATAGATGTATATATACCACATACATATTGTTATTGTTTGTTATTTAAGGCTATTTTGGTGCATCATGTTTAATAATGTCTGAATAGTGCTTCTATGCTTGTTGCAGAATCTTCGAATTCTACTATATTTGTGAATCCAATCTTCTTTACAGATATTAGAATCAGAATAATTAATTACTTGATTGTATAGACAATTATCTTTTTAGAAGTTTATTCTGATATCAGTGAGTAGTGCATGGTACTTTTTGAATTTGATTCATTAAAATTTTAAACATATTATATATATATACATGACAAGATACAATTTGCTATTGTGTTCAGTATTTAAAAATGTTTAATTTTCAAGATTGATATTGTAAAAATAAAATTTTTATATAGTAAAAACATAGTTTTTTCTTCTTGAGTACAAAGTTATTGAAAGCAATATAACAGACAGGTTGCTTTTGTACCTTTTTGGCTCACCCAAAGGGCCATGCCATCACTTCTCATCTGTAGTCTTAATATTTTTCAAAGATCTTCTCCTCTAAAACTATTGAACTAATTTCTGCCAAACTTTTGGTGAGTGATCCATAGGCTATCTTGTATTAATTGTGTGTTTTTTTCCCCGTCCATGTACAAACATGTCCACCATGGTTAAAGATAGAACAATGGGTAAAATGCATTAATTGTCTTATATCTTGAAACTGTAATAGATAAAGAAAATCTGACATGGACACAAGTGCTCAGAATATCAAGATCATCCTACTTCTTGTTTGCACCAAAATTATCTGATGACACATTTAGGAGTTATTGCCCTTAAATGATGATTTTTGGCTAATTTTTATGTTTTTGCATAATAACTCAAAATCTATATTAGGTAGGTAGAAGCTATTAATGACAAAAGTGATCAGCAACACAAGATCTACATAAATGCCAATATAATCTAAACCATTTAATGACCCCATAAAGTGTTATTGCCTGTAAATCAGGATTTTTGTATCACCTGTGATGGAAATCACAGAAAGTCATACATGTGTCATGCTTTTCAGGCGGTGTTGGCAGCGACGGCAGATGATGTGTCAACAATTGTTAAGTTTCTGCTTAAGTCAGATGATAGGTACAACTTGTGATAGATCAATGATATTTTGTATATGCTATCAGTGCATATCAGTTTGATGACTATATTGAGGCCCTGCCTTCTAGATCATGGTCCAGTGACTGATTTAATTAGCCATTTTCAATGTTAACTTTTTTGCTAAATGTCTTCTACTTGATTATTTTTCACACTTAATGGCTCAAATTGATAAGGTAGAATATCCAAAGTTTGGGAGTTGCCCGGAAAACTGTTTAATTATGCAGAAAAGTGATCGACACCGTCCATTTTGAGACATTTTCTCAGCTTGGAACTTCTGACGTAAGCACAATCATGTGAACGTTATCAAAATAAAAATCATTGATTTTGACAAGGGATGGATTCTTTGACCTAAAAAATGAGGATTGATCAGGTTTTGACTAGCAAAATTATGTGAAACTTGTTTTAAGACTAGTATTTATTAATAAATTAAAAAGAAAAACAAAAATTGTGTCACATCTCCTTTAAGTCAATTTGAAAGGAACTACTTGTAATAGATCATTGATATTTTCTATAAAGTTACATTACTATCAGTACTACATATTAGATTGACAACTATTTCGAGGATCTGTCTTCTAGGTCATGGTCCAGTGACTTTGAATTAATTGGCAATTTTTAATGTTAAGTTTTCTGCTTAAATCAGTTTGATAGGAACTACTTGTGATAGATCAATGATATGTTCTATAAAATCGCATTACTATAATTACATATCAGTTTGAAGACTTGTTCAAGGCTCTGCCCCCATCGACTTGAATTGAATTGGTTAGCAATGTTGCTGTCCATCAGATAATCTTTTTTTGAATTTTTGAACAGGCAAGACATATCTCTGTGTCAACAGTTATTTGACTATTTTTAGTGTTGTTGCCTTTTATCTCAAAAATTATAGCAGAAACTAAACAGCAAAAATAATCTGAAATACAAGATCTACAAAAAAAACGATATAACAGAAACAAGCAGGTGCTTATAAGAAGTTATAGCCCTGAATGACAATTTTTTTACTAATTTCCTTGTCCATCGTATACCTTTTCAAAGATATTCTCCTCTGAAACTACTGAACCAATTTCTACCAAACTTGGGGTGAATGATTCCTAGGGTATGTAGTACAATGTTTGTGTTTTTTAATTAGTCAGTCAACCAAGATGGCCACCATGGCTGAAAATAGAACATAAGGGTATAATCCAATGATTGTCTTGTATCTTGAAAACTATAATATTAAAGTAATAACAGGTGCAAAAATGCTCAGAATTTCAATATCTACCTACTTCTTGTATGCATCAAAATAATCAGAAAACTCATCATAGGAGTTATTGCCCTCAAATGACATTTTTCACTTATATTCACGTTTTTGCATTTTATCTTGCAAATTATAATAGGTATTATTTCAATTTTGACAGGTGAGCGATTCAGACTAAGAAGTGCTGGAATGATCATATTTGGTTTGGATAGTAATTAACTTTTAAACTTCAACAAAATGCCTTTAGTTTAAACAATATTTTATTTTTCAAACGTGCACAACTGACAAACATACAACAGAAATAAATGGATTCGGTAAAAAGACAAACTTATATAAATTCGTCTCCGTTGAATATCTTTAACTCCACCAGGTTAAGCCCGCAGGTCACATAAAACGGAGAACACATGAGAGGGCAAAATCCAAATTCAAAGTCTGAAAATACCTTTTAGGAAAAAGCTTAAATGTCTTTGAAACATCGCAAACTCCTTTTTGTTTAAGCGCAAATGTCATTAAAATTAAAGCGAAACAGACATTTAAAACGCACGTGTAACGCCCCGCTTCGTATTCTATAGTCAATGTAACGTTATATAAGCTGTTACCTTTATGTCTTAATCAATAATTTCAGAAGAACATTTCAAAAAGGTATTAAAACATTTTCCACCAATTATTCTATAGGGATTTAACTGTATTAATTTTGCAAGTAACTGTACAATGTCATATATTCTTTAATTCGGAAATCTATTTTTAATTTCGAATTATAAGAAATCGTTCACAAGCCGAAAGAAAAATCGTATCCTATGACCACAACCTATATTTCCTACTTATACCCTACATGTAGGCATATATTAAAGAAAACCTTTAGGGAATTGTTGTTAATTAGTCCCATACAGATGAAGTCGAAGGGGACTTTAGGTTTGTACTCTGTCCGTCTGTCTGTCCGTCCGTCCGTCTGTCCGTCCGTCAGTCTGACAAATAAGTTTTCCAGACTTTTTTTCTTCATGCTTGAAGATATTGATTTGATATTTGGTGTATTGTTTTATCATGACAAGTTACAGGTCAAGTTCGATTTTCACGATTTTAGCTTTTCTCCTTGTTCAGTTAAAGCCCTTTCCCTAGAATTAAATTTTTGATGAAATACTTAATAATTACTAGATTTCTGTTCAAAGGGAATTAACTCATTTTTTAACTTTCCCTAGAATTAAATTTTTGATGAAATACTTATTAATTACTAGATTTCTCTTCAATGGGAAATAACTCGTTTTTATACGACCGCAAAAATTAAATTTTTTTTTGTCGTATATTGGTATGACGTTGGCGTCGTCGTCGTCGTCGTCGTCGTCGTCGTCGTCTGGCGTCGTCCGGCGTCGTCCGAAGACACATTGGTTTTCGCACTCTTACTTTAGTTTAAGTGAATGGATCTCCGTGAAATTTTACCATAAGGCTCAATACCACAAAAGGAAGGTTGGGATTGATTTGGGGGGTTATGGTACCAACAGTTAAGGAATTAGGGGCCAAAAAGGGGCCAAAAATAAGCATTTTTGTAACTTCCAGACATAACTTGTGTGTTAGTGTATGGATCTCTCTGACATTGTACCACAAGGTTCCATATCACAAAGGGAATGCTGGGATTGGTTTTGGGGGTAATTGCCTCAAAATTTTAGGAATTAGGGGCCAAAAAAGGGGCAAAAAACAAGCATTTTTCTAGTTTCATGATAATAACTTGTGTGTAAGTGTATGGATCTTTCTGAAATTGTACTGCAAGGTACCATACCACAAAGGGAAGGCTGGGATTGAGTTTGGGGGTGATGAATCATAAGGGGTTTCAAAAAATGGGGGGGGGGGGATTTTTTTTTTTCCTTTTTTTTCTTTTTTTCCTTTTTTTTTTCTTTTTAAATTTTCCATTTTAAGTTGGTTATTTCTGATTTATATTTAAAAGCAAATAATAATGATATGGTAGGAGATACACACCAAACAGGATGTGTAAATTATTATATAATAAGTATTGTGCAATAGCAAGAAATTTTCAATTGCACAGTATTGCACAATAGCAAGAAATCTTTCATTGCACAGTATTGCGCAATAGCAAGAAATCTTCAATTGCACAGTATTGCGCAATAGCAAGAAATATCCAATAGCACAATATTGCGCAATAGCAAGAAATTGTCAATTGTACGGTATTGCGCAATAGCAAGACATATTCAATTGCACAGTATTAATTGCTTATTTCTTGACCAATTTCAATGGGGTTTTATTCTTGAATTCTTGGGGTTCTTTAATATGCTGAATCTAACCGTGTATTAAGTTTTTGGATTTTGGGCCCCGATTTTAAATTGGTCCACATTGAGGTCCAAAGGGTCCAAAATTAAACTTTGTTTGATTTCATCAAAAATTGAATTATTGGGGTTCTTTGATATGCCGAATCTAACCGTGTATTTAGATTCTTAATTTTTGGTTCCGTTTTCAAATTGGTCTACATTAAGGTCCAAAGGGTTCAAAATTAAACTTAGTTTGATTTCAACAAAAATTGAATTCTTAGGGTTCTTTGATATGCTGAATCTAAACATGTATTTAGATTTTTGATTATGGGCTCAGTTTTCAAGTTGGTCCAAATCGGGGTCCAAAATTAAACTTTGTTTGATTCAACAAAAATTGAATATATGGGGTTCTTTGATATGCTGAATCTAACCATGTATTTAGATTTTTGATTTTTGGGCCCCGTTATCAACTTTGTCCACATTGAGGTCAAAAGGGTCCTAAATTAAACTTTGTTTGATTTCATCAAAAATTGAATTCTTGGGGTTTTTTGATATGCCGAATCTAACCGTGTAGTTAGATTCTTAATTTTTGGTTCCGTTTTCAAATTGGTCTACATTAAGGTCCAAAGTGTTCAAAATTAAACTTAGTTTGATTTTAACAAAAATTGAAATCTTAGGGTTCTTTGATATGCTGAATCTAAACATGTATTTAGATTTTTGATTATGGGCTCAGTTTTCAAGTTGGTCCAAATCGGGGTCCAAAATTAAACTTTGTTTGATTTCA